TAAGTATGTTTGATGTGTATTATGTTGTATATTCATAGGAGTGGATAAGTCATGGACTGATCCAAGCTGCACAAACCCTATCTATGCCATTGATCGTAATTTATCTTCTGTAAGTTAACCTGTGCCTGAAATCATTGCAGTTCTCATGCCTTCAGAGGATTTTAAGTTTGAATCAGGAAGAAATAAATACAGGAAAAGAAAAACGTGCTCGATCACTGGTTAAGAATAAGAATCGAAAATAAATCTCGTTTGATTATTTAGCCGAAATCGAGGACCTAATTCATGAAATAAAATTTTTCTAAAACTTATCTGAGGTATTGAGATTGAGGTTACAAGAATGAAAGTTATTAGTTCCTGATCCATTTAATGCAATTATCAGAAAGATCTCTCGCAATACTTTTTAACGGAAAGAGACCTTTTTTCCATGAATATCGATGGATTGATGTCAGCTTCAAGTTAAAAGCACAATCCTGATGAATGGCGTCTCTATTAATTCTTCAAAACTATGCCTTTAAGCTTTCCTCCTACGTATAGAGAATATTTTTCCATTAATTTATATTGGTCCCACAATTCATATGAAGGAAACTCATAAAAACATGGCACGACTATTTGAAAAAATTCAATATAAAAAGTATTGTTGGTATATCAGTGCTGATCTCAAAAGTTATAGCTGTTTTATTTGGTTTACAACAGGGATACACAAAATACTGATGTTTGCGAATGGACAGTAGAGCAAGAGCTTTGCACTATCTTATCAAGTACAGTGGCGGCCCTAACCAGGATTTCAGGTGGTGCGAGATTTCATTGTGGCGCCCCCTGTATAGACTAAACTGATAATGTACATTTTTCACATTATTAATAACTCAGACCTCCGAAAGATTAGTACAGTAGACCCCCCCTATAACGCTTAGCTACGTTTCACTTTATAAGAATTTTACGTTGTAGGAATCCTTAATTAAATAAATGAGCCAATCACAGCCCGACACGTGTGAAGTTTACGGACTAAGGCTGTTTGAAAGGTTTTCTTTTATAAAATTAACCGATTCTAGACTAATTCGACTCAACATTTCCAAAACACGTATAATTTTTTGGGAATAATCCGTATAAACTATGCTATAAACAAAAAATTGTAGGATTACTTACCGAGTGTGCACCGTTCGACTACGCCGTTGCTTACGCTTGTTTTCGTCGCAGAGTAGCGCACCAAACGGTGGCCGCGTTTTCTGATAAATTATTTTTCTGCGAAAAATTCGTTGACCTTTGGAGACATCATTAATAGAAATAATTTTTATGGCCGTTGAATAAGAAATCTTTCTTTCACAAGAAATGTATAAAATTAGTGCTGTGTTAGACTTACGGTACCTAATTTACATACTGTACAGACTCAACTTACTCACCTAAACTCTCCGTAGCGTGGCGCTGGACGGCGGAAAGTATATATATAATTATAATAAAGTTACAATAAATTAAGTTAATATATAATTATATATACAGTACCTAATTTATATATAATTAATATATAATTATATGTACAGTACCTAATTTATATATAATTTATATATAATACTGTACAGACGATAGCAAACTCAATTTACCCGCCTAAACTTTCCGTAGCGTGGCGCTGGACGGCGGAAAGTAGTTCGGCTGCTCATCCACTATTGGTCCAGATTCGACCAATCTTGTCGCGACACGAGTCGGCGACGACGTTTTACGAGTCCCTTTATACGAATACTGCCGCAATTTTTTCGCTACATTATAGGAATTTCCGTTATAGGAACCCACGTTATAGGGGGGTCGACTGTATAGTAATACTATGGATGAAACACGATAGTGACGGTAAATGAAGAGTTAACTTGACCCTTGTTAATTCAGACGTATCGCAAGCTGTTGACGTTTTTCCCCCCTCCCCTCCGTCGATGAAATTAATTTTAGGTTATCGAGATATAGCACACATTTCAGGATCATGTTTTATATTCTCACAACCCAGCTCACTCTTGTGTAAAATCTATAACATAGTACTAGTATGGCTGAGGAACAATAACAGTGAAAAAAAAACAATATTTCTTTCACAAGGCAATATTTATTTAATTTCTTTCATAGGGCAATATTCATAACAATATTTACTTAAACTGCTATCGCACAGACAACGCTCACATCACGCAAAAGACAAATTTACATCGTAAATTAATTTAAAATTGAAACAAATTAAGAAATAAAATAAAATAAAAAGCCTACATTGCCACTTTCCTCGCTTTTGCGCTTGCAAATGTTGTTATTAATTCAGAATAATTTAATTCCTGGGCAATACTATTTTCGATAGGTAAAATTGCTAGATCTGACAGTCTCCCGACACATGGTTGAACGTAAATAAGTTTTAGTTTACTGAAACTTCGTTCTCTTTTAGCGACAGTTACAGGTATGTCAGCAAAATTCGAAGTGCTGTCCACACATTCAGAAATATATCCTGCCAATCATTTTGTTTAATAAGTTGAAGAACTTTTATTGGTTCTGATGATTTAAGCTCTTTCAACAATGGATTCGGGTGTAAAAGTTCCTCAACCAATTCACAACCAGGTGTGTTACATTTTTGTTCATCGGTTAAACTTATTTCTAAATTTGCACAGGCTTTTTCCAATTTTGACTTTTCATGAATTGTTTTGATGATGTATAAAAAGGACCATGTATCATTAAATTTGGATAGTTGTGTAAATCGAGTGACTAACGCATTCTCAATTGTATCGATCATAGGGTAAAAGACGTTTATTTTAAACAATTCTTCAATATCTGTTGGTGTCTCATCTACTGCCTCGTATTTAAATAATCTCTTCTTTCTTCGGGATCTGACTGACTTAAAAATAAGATCTATCCCAGCCTGAAAAGCAATTTCATTAACTGTTATTACAGCAGACGAATAACCCGGTACTCTTTTACAAATTCATAGCAGTTCTTCAGTAATTGCGTAGCGTTTGGTAAATCCATAGTTTCGGGCTGCATAGCCTTGCTTACAATGTTTACTTGAAATAATATATCATACCAAGCCACTATTGTTACTATAAACTCAAATTGCTGCATGATCTGAATCAGGGACAAGGCCTCTGATGCTGCAACTGGGTTATTCGTTTCTTCCTGAAGATCCAGAAGGGCGTCACGAACTGAATAGTGATAACGAACTGCAGCGAGGCTAGAAACTCTACTCTTCCAACGAGTTTCACAAACTTTCTTTAGCGATAGTTCTTCTATGTGCTTGGATATCACTTTTTCGGACGTTTAATATACAGTACAATAATTTCGCGACAATAGTACGCGTACAGAAACTTAGAACTAATTCTTACTCACTAACTTATAACCAAAGAAGGTAGAAGATTATATGAGAAGGTAGATAGTAAAAGGATAAGATCAAAATACCCGGGAATCTCTTTATTTCGAATGGGCACCACCTCGGATTCTGCAGATATACCAGACGTGATTTTTCTTCCCTTTCTTTATAATCGGGACTTCCGTCCAACATTGACTCTGGCGTTTTCTATTTTTCTAATGTAACCAAAATGTCCTTCCTTCGGAATTATTCAGTCTCAAGTAGCCCCTAGTCGTCTACTCGCGATCTGGAGCGCTCTTCTCTTCACGTCTTATTCCCACGTAGGTCCAGTCAAGATTAACCCGTTCTTTTTGTCTTATCGGCCATCGGGCCTTAACTCTCCGATTGTTTTTAGTTCTTGGGATTGGTGGTCCCACCCAAAGGAAAGAAAGGAAATGAAAAGAAAGTTCTAGAAAGACGGAGAACAAAAGGGAATAAGGAAATAAATTATACATTTATTTCCTTATTGGTTTCTTTAATCTTGGTTTCTTTAATCTTGGTATGTATTTTGGTGGGTAGGGTTAAGTAGTAATAAGGTAATCGGGTTTTACTTTTTTCCCAGACGATTTTCGGTTGTATTTTGACGATTGTATTTTCGGCGCCCGGTGCGGTCGTACCGTTCGCACCGCCATAGGGCCGCCCCTGATCAAGCATTGGTCACTCAGGGAGCAATATAATATCAGGTGGAAAAAAAAATGCAGTTCCTCACGCATTAGTCCAATTCAATAAAATTTTACTTCCTCCGTGGAATATAAATTGGTCTTAATAAAAAAAAAACTTTGTAAAATCAATGAATAAACAAAGTCTAGACATTCTATATTTAAGAAAAATTTCACCATCTAAGCGACGCTAAAATTAAATTAAGAGTGTTTGTAGGCGTCAAATTAATTTGTTAATAAAAAACAAATAATTTGAAAAGTCCTTAAATGACAGAGAACTTGCGGCATGAAGTAGTTTCAGTGCAGTTGCACAAAACTTTCTACGAAATAGAAACTCCGAAAACTACGGAAAACTAATAATGTTCTTTAATTAAATCATATCAAACATTAGGCACGAACGTAAGTTAGAAAATATATTTCCTTTATTCTCACCTAAGCTTCTTTAGTTTTGGCCACGTCAGCAATGGACATGGGAAACCTTCGCAAAACGTTTTCAAAGCAAATAGAGTGACGAAATATTGTCTGATTATTGCTGAACATTGATTTCAGATACCAAAAGTCGCATCATAGAACGAAAAGTGACAAGAAAATCTTTTTAAATTGTATATTTTATTTATTATTAATAAAATTAATAATAAACAACTTGGCTTATATTTCCTTATCCTGACATATTTTGTTAGTTTATTTTTTTATTTTGTTAATATAGTTTAGTATATTTCGTAATCATGAAAAAAAACAGATAAAACAAAATTATGTATAGTTCGTGTACATAAGATTAAGAAAAACTATGGGTTAAAATTTGTTGTTTAGTATAATTATATGCGTGTATAGAATTATCATATTGATTTTTATCTTTTGCAAAGCATTAATATCTTTTGTATTGTTAATAATTTTCTTGATAATTAATGATAAAAAATTGAGTTTTTATTTACGTTTAAAAATTCAAATTATTCCAGAATTTAATAGGTTATTTTTTTTCATTTCAGACAAACAATGTACAAAAGATAACAGGAGGAAGTAAGTCTATTAAAATTTTAGATCTATTTATTTTATTTTCTACGTTAGAACTCTTTTTACCATGTAAAAGAATATTTCTATTTATTAAGTTAATGATATTTTCGGATCTGTATATTTATAATTATAAAAAGAAGAAAACGTTTACATACAAGATTTAACTTTCTTTTAAGGTTAAGATTAAGATTTTTTAACTTAGAGTTTAAAAATTATATAACTTAGTAAGTAATCTTTGAAAAATCATTAACTAATTAGTTTTTTTTTTTTTAAATGAGATAAAATACGAGTATAATCGTTAATCTTACATATGAAGATATTAGGAGAAACTATATATTTCTCGTCACTTCGCGATGCTCTCCGAAATTTATAATAATTCTTTACATAAACAATATTAGTTTTACATATACTGAACTGCATAACTGTAAATAATAACAGAAATTTAATAAAGAACTCTCTGCGTACGTCCGATGTTGCACGAACTTTTCAGGGGATGGGGATTGGTGAAGCTGATTCGAAGAGGCTGATAAAATAGTAAATAGAAGTCTTAGTAATTAAAATGTACATTTATCGACCTCAGTATTTACAATAATAAAACTGTAAAACAAACAAACACACACACACAAAAATGCTCTGTCTAAGGTTAACAGAGGGTGGGACTCCATGTTTGTACCATAGATTTAACATCGTACCTTTGCCACTCCTGAACCATTGCATCTTTCTCAAATTTCTCTTCGGAAGAGTCATCTACAAGATAAGAGCTTTGACATCTGAAAGGTATTTTTATTCACAGCCGTTCATTCAAAAGATGCAATGGTAACATAGCAGAGAATGCAATATAAAATAATGCAGAACAAATTAATAAACGTGTTTAAAAATAAGTGGATGGCATTTGTTATCGGTTACTAGGTTCTGGAATAATATTCAATTTAATCCTCATTTTAGTTATGATTTGAAGATGTTTAATCTAAATATTAGCTAATTTGAAGGTTGTTCATTTTAATATGATATTTACAAGTATAACAACTAATATAGCATTTACAAGTATGGCAATTTATTTGTTTAATTATTCTTTAACTTAATTATTATTATTGATTGATATCCTCTAATAATATGCTGCATTAACACTATTGCCATTTTCCTAATAAAGCACTTAAAATTTTTAAAAATGTAAATGGAAAATGAAATTTTGAATTGTTCCTCTGTAGGAAAAAATAAAATACAAAGCAAACAATTTATGTTACTGTTATGTTATTGAAAGTAGGAAAAAAGGTTTTAAGATAGGTTCTTAAAACAAATTTGTGTTATTTTATGTTTGATACGTTTGATTTAATTTAGCATAAACTCTTCATTTAGTTAATATATACTCCTTAAACAACAATTTTTATTAAAAACAGACTAGCAACTAGAAATATTACTAAAAAATTACCTGGAATACATCGGGAGTATTTTTATAAGTTATTTCCTACGCAAAGTTTATCCATATTCGAAGATCAATCTTCGGTAAAGAATTAATCTTTTATTTAAAAACTACAGTAGGTCCTATATTAGTGTCAATGTTACACAATACAGAACTTAGAATGTTTGTAACAAAATTACGCGAAAGTGAATATCGAGAGTAGAAAAATGAAACAGATTAATGTAATAAGTATTGGAATAATTCTTAAGAAAGTCATCAGGAATCTGGAAAATATATATATATGCCAAATTAAGAGGCTTGCTTTAATTTTTTCTAATTGGTTTGTCTACTTGAATGCATGTCGGATGAGGAACGATATCGTAATCTGAATTATATATATGTTACTGTAAATGCTCGAACTATGGTAAATCCTAAGATTTTGCAGTAAAATCTAAGATTTACCAAATCATTGTGGTAAAAGTCCGAAATGTTCTGCGATCATCGCTAATTTCGAACTTTTACCAGCATTTACTCGGTATATCTTAGGTTTTATCTCAGAGACATGGTAAATGTTGAAAAAATAGTCCCTGATCCCGTACCGCACTGCGCCGCCGCCTTCGCTCGCCGCATTCCATCGTTTGACACGTTAGAACGCGCACATTAATTCTAATCTTGTTTGAGATTTCTTTGTCTAAAAGTTATTTTTGAATCAAGATGAGTGTGAAATGGAGATTTTATGAAATAATGGACGAGCTCATTGCAAGCAAGAAAGATAATAACTTTTATCTCAATAGAGACAAATACGCAAAGTGTTTGGAGGAAGTAAAAGCTGCAAAGAACACGAAAAAGAAACAAGCTGTTCATTACAGGCATATAAAGCGTTAGGACATTTTGACTATAGGCGGCGAAGAAAAACTAATTGCGCCTACGAAGGAGGAGGATGGAGAAATAAGGTATTACATTTGTTACGAGGACTTATTCAACATTCTCGAAAAAACGCATGTTGCTGTTGGCCATAGTGGAGGACACGGATGATTAACGAATGTAACCGCAAGTATAAAAATGTAACAGTTGAGGCTACTATGACATATTTGAAGCTATGTCAACCTTGCCAAAAGAAACAGAAGACTTTGAAAAAGGGCATTGTCATCAGACCTATACTTCATAGTGAAATGAACTCACGCTGTCAGGTTGATCTAATAGATCTAATAGATCTACAAACTACCCCAGATGGAAATTATAAATTTATTTTAGTTTACCGAAACCATCTTACCAAATTTGTGATCCTTCGTGCGCTTCAAACTTAACGCACCGTAGAAGTTGCATACCATCTTTTGGATATTTTCATCACTTTTGGAGCGTCGAGCATCCTTCATTTCGATAATAACCAAGAATTCTCTAACCAAGTTATTGAGAGTTTATGCTTCGTGTGGCCGATGTAAAAATCGTANAATTTCAATCTTTATAATGTTTAATGATTTAATTATGATATTGCGCGATAATCCGTCTCTTCAGCAACAGAGAGGTGGAAAATTTACGAAATTAGCTGAAAAATCCAAACTTTTCACATTAAATTTTGTGGCGACGCAACAATAAAATTCTGACAATTTGTTGGGAACGGTTGAATTTTCGGTTCGTCGTTTCAAACTGATTTATTTTAAGAGGTTTTTTTTTTTAGTTTTGCATCATTTGCAGCTATTTTATCGGTAAGTTCAGACCACGAACTTTCTAAACTTAGATATTTTTGAACATTGTTTAGCGGAATTTCGCAATTAGTGACAAGGATTTTCCGACAAATTTCCATTTAGATAATAGGTGATCGGTTTCTTCACAGAGACGAAGAATGGGACCTTTCCACTTATTTTAGAAAACACTTTTTACCCTTTTTATTGTTAATTTTCGTTTAGACCAAATACAATCGAATTGTTAAAGCAAAGTGGGAGTAAATAAATACATTAAATTGTTATTTTCCGCTATGCTTTATAACCATTTATCAAATTAACCATTTAACTCTTTTATAACCATTATATCACATATGGAATTCACATCGCATATACTTTAATTAATTAGAATTTTTCTATTTTTACAAATATTTTGTGTTCTAGCAATCGACAAAAAGTTTGTATAAACCGATTTTTAAACTTATATGTCGAACATTAAAACGCGTTGGAAAGATTAAAATTACTATATTTAATAATTAAAGATTTTACCATAATATTTATGTCTGACTTTGAAATTTTTGGTGTCGGAAGTCTGCTGCCTGGGCCGGAACATACATACATACATACAAAGGATAAGGCTTTACTCGGTGGTGTAGCCCTAGAAAAAATAGGANTTTCACTAGTTATTTATAAATAGGACTTAGTAAGTTGACTGTTTATAATAATTGCAATAAATGATTATTAAAATACTCATTGTTTTATTTCCAAAACCAACATTTACTAATCGTCTTTAGTAAAACCTAGCATGTACCAAATTCTAATGGGAAAAGCCCGGAAAATCATCACACTTCATAAAAATCCTTACATTTACCAACTCATGTTAGTAAATCCGAAGATTTACAAGTAAAACCTAGGATTTACCAATATACGGGCTTTTACAGTAACATATAAAATAATCACAAGTGTGTTTTGATCGGATTTAAATTTCAACCTTTTATAGAAATCTTACGACATTTACTATATAGTAGACTATTTATACAACTTAAAAGACCGTTTTTCAGGAACCCATTAAATTAATAAACTCACTACTTAAACTGATGTTATATTCCTAGAAGTGGACGCGTGTAACTACATAAGTTAGTATTATGTGAGATGGCTAACAAAAATTACGGCATTTTATACCATCATAATAGTTTATATAACTTCCTATTTTATATTGCTATAAAATAACTAATCGTAAATCAAATTATACGTGAATACATCTTCGAAATACAGTATGAGAAACTATAAAATTCTGTACTTGAAAGTTTTTAATTAATTGTCATTTGAAAATAAATTTCGTGCATAGCTTACTATTAAAATAAATTACACATGGCCGAGTGTTCTTGGCCTTACACTTAAGTCACATTTAATGTGTTTAATTGATAAATTCAGGTATCAATTTGAGATGAAATAGACTAATCAAGATAATTTGCTATTTTAAATTTTTTATTAGACTTTTCTACTGAAGAAGAACCTTCTCTTGTATGGAGATTGGGATTGGCTAGTCCGGCGGACGCATATTCTTCTCTAAATAATGCTCCTCAAAAGTAAGATCATTTTAAAATATATTTTTCGTACACATATTTATAAATTTACAAAACATTATTTTAAAAATTTGGCAGATTCGTAGAAACCCGGACACAACTTCCCAAACCTCCGAGTTACGATCCGACGGAAGAACAACTAATGGCCATGATTGAAAAGGAATACGCATAATTGTTTTTTCTCGAGCGGAAATGATTTATATTATTAGATTTTTTGACTTAAAACGAAAAAGTCTTGTCAAAAAAATATTTGGTATGAATCTGTGTCGTCTACTCAATAGAAGAGAATTATTTTTCTCTGTTTCTTGATATTAATAAATTTTATAAATCGAGTTATTTAAATTATTGATCTTACTACAGAGCAAAGATTTAGAAAATAATTAAATATTAAACCATTTCGCTGGAAAATGTAGTTGGTCTATTCCTTCAGTGAAGGAGCTTCCCTATTCGATTAGTTATATCTTCCAACTTTTGAAATGCGTTGTTTAACTATCTTCTTAACCGACTGTTGATTTCTCTATACAAAAAAATTTTCTTTTATTTTATGAATTATTAAATGTATATAGATAAAACAAGAAATAAATATATTGTATTCTATAATGATTTTTATTTACTTTCAACATTATTTTAAATATATTCCTCTTATTGTTCAGAGAACAGAAAAGGTAGCCTTTTATTCGTGCACATCACGGATTCGTGATAAAAATTTGTAGGAACAGATTGGTTTCGAGCCTGGATTATTCAGAGCAGAAGACACGCGTTTCGGTTGTCCAGTTATCATTTCTCGTTACGCCAGAAAAAAATATTTTAATTACTGTATTTGCTTTAGATATATAGGAAAATAAACCCAAGTCTGTTTTTTACGCTGTAGTATTTAACGTGTAAAAACAGAATTGCATCCCAAAAATTTCTGGGTAAAAGAAAGTGTAAAAAAAGATACTGTCCGTATGGAAAAATTAGAAGATTAGTTCCAGACTTTAAAAACCAGTAAAAAGTAATACGATAACCAATTAATTAATTAATACAATAGATTGTATTGATATTTAAACAAAACATTTTCTTTATTTTTTTATATCCAATAATACCTTAGTTTTATTTAAACTGTATGTTTTATTTCAATTTTAGTTAATAAATCATAGGAAGGACGATTGTGACTTATCAGCAGAAGTTAATAAATATGTATTACTTGTAATTGCATAAATATTAATTTCATTTTATTTTTTTGACTTTTTCCAATTAGCCTAAATACAAAAAATACCTCTGGCTTAATGATAGCCAGTCGTTTTTCCAATAGCTGTAGTTCAGGGATATCCAACCTTTTTGTTTCTCTGCCAAATTGGAAGAAGTCATGGAGTTTTTGGCCACAAGTATATTATATAGGTTATACCAGGCATGGCCAACATACGGCCCGCGGGCCAGACCCGGCCCGTCTAATGAATTTATGTGGCCCGCGATCAATCTTTCAATATTAGGTATTGAAGTCCGAATAGCTCGATTAAAAATTCTGACGCCTAAAAAAAAAGGTCAACAACTCACTGTACGTTTAGAGCTAACCCTCCATTACAAATCTCTTAAGTACAGTACAGCGTAGCGTGTTGATAAAGCATGATAATGTGAAAAATGTATCTACAATCTCTATCTACAATTCAGTCTCTACGGGGTGACACCACAATGAGATCTCGCACCACCTCAAAATCTTCCTAGGGTAGCCTCTTCTTCGGCNTCCCAGTCTTTCTGCCACTTTGTCATGATGATGGTAGAGATCTCTTTGCTCAGGTGGGAGAGTGGAGCTGAAGTGTAGGAGTAATGAGAGGTCAGTTTATGAGCCTTCTTTGCAAGTTTATCTGCTGTTTCATTACCACTATTACCAGAATGGCCTCTGACCCAGAAGAAGTTGATGGTAACTCCCTTCTAAGTCACTAATTATATCAAGACTGTTGAGGATAATTGGTAGTTTACGATTTTCTTTCCTAATCTGTTGCAGTGCGGTTCGACTCCTGGGCCGGAACAGGAGGAGCAGGCATGGGAGGAATATCGAAGTGAGGGGTGGCGGTTCCTTCCCGTAAAGTATTCGTAGCGTTTGAGATTAGAATTTGGCTACCGATCGGATGTTGGTTGACGGCTTGGTAGGGTTTTTGGCATGTAGTCATATTGCTTTTTTTGAAAGAAATGTTTGCACCGGAGACACTTCAGGCCGTTGTTTATGACGTCGGGGACCAAGAAGATATCACGAAGTTCGAGGAAGTGCCTGACGTTTACAATATTCGAAGCGACGAGTCCGACGGCGTCACTAAGATGTTCTTTTAGAGCAGGGGTGTCCAACCTTTCTGTTTCTCTGGGCCTCATTGGAAGAAGTCAAGGAATTTTGAACCACAAGTATATATACTATGTACTTGTGGCTCAATACACAAGTATATTTAAGGATTAACATGTCTAGATTGTAATAATAAGTATTAAATCTTTATCACGAAAAAGGATATTTTAAAAAACTAGCTGCAAGTACCCGCTTCGCTGGGTTTTTATTTGTTTGTATATTTATATGTAATATAGTTTTTTTATATATATAAAAGCCCGGCGTTGCTTGGGCAAAAAATAACGATAGTGATTATAGCCAATCTCGCCGTTTTCACAGAATGTAAGAATTAGGTCACCTGTTTCCAGACTAATTAGAGAACTTTTACATGGGTCTAAAAATATGTTTGATTTCCCTCAAAAACGCAAAAAACCACATTTGCGCCTGTAAATCTTGCACACCGCTTTCTCTTAACACTTTTGTTACTCAACACTTCCATTGTTGACACTTCCATTGTCACATATTTTCGAAGTCAACTACTTTCAAACCCCATATCTCCCACACCCTTACAGCTATCGAGACACAACCACCATAATGCCGATAGAAGACTTGGGGCTACTACCACACACAAACACCATTCATGTGCAATGTGTAGTTTTGGCTGCAGAGTGAAATATAGACACAAACACGGTCACTGGGACAAAACCACTATTAAAAGAACCGAAAACATTGTGACGATGTCACAATATAAAATAATCGCGCATTAGAATTAGTTTGGTTTATTTGGTTACGGTAACGCAACATGTAAGAGATCAACCGAGGATGATGCATCCCGGGAAGACTTATGGAAAGCTAGACCTTATTTAGGTGTTATTAGAGAGGTTGCGGCCGACATTTTCATCGCGAAAACGTAAACATCGGACGTTCAGCGCCGCCATCCTATAATTTATAAACGTGTAAATGTACGATTTATAAATGTCTATAGATATAGATAATTCCAGGTAAGCCCGGCGTTGCTCGGGCAAAAAATAACAACAAACATTAAGATTATTAGTTATGTTCCAGAACATCCTGGAACATTCTGGAATGTTGTGGAATGCTCTCAAAAACTCTCGAATGTTCTGGACTGTTCTAGAAATTTCTAGAAGAAACTTTCAGCCCTTATATCTTCAACAGGACGCCCTTCAGGTAAAAACGGGAACCTTCTTCATGGATGGGGGATAGAGGGCTATCACACCATATAACTTCCTTGATCGTACCGGGACTCGTTTTTGAGTTTTAGCGATACGCACATTGTACACTTACCTGTATAATTTTAAAAAATTACTTCTACAGACACTTTCAATTTTTACTTAGAAATATATAAATTCATTTATTATAAAGGAAACAAACAAAAATTTATTTGAAAAACATAAATATTTGTTTTATTTGGGTCTCTAATTAAAAGAAATGTCACAAGATGCCATTAGTTTACACTTATAGTCTTTAAAAATATACATCGGACGCGTTTCCTTGTAAAAACTCTTTGTTATTTATTACTGTTATTATACTGTTATTTCCGCTTTAAGTTAGCCGCTGCAGGCTCGTGAAGAGAGGTTCAAAAGTGCTGAAAACAGAAGTTAAGATGGCTGCCACCATAAATTATACGCATATACATACAGTACTGTACCTCAAATGGAAAGATTTGGGTAATTTGCGCCAAATGGGCTACCTTTTTTAGTTTAGCTCATAAAATATCATTTGGCGCATTGGCTATTTCATTGACTACATTATGGTTATTTGTGGCAACGCAAGACTTTTACTATCTGTCTAGGGGATACCTTTCGGGAAGTCTTTTTAAGGGAAACTGACCCCTATTTAGGCGTTATAGAAAACCCGAAAAACTACACGTGGCCAGCCCGTCCGAGCGTAGGCGCGAACCCACGACCGAACTCCCAGGGCCGATTGCAGAGACGAAGTTTAGAGGCCGACGGCGGTTTACAGATCGGGTAGACCGCCGTTCAGAAAAATTTCATTGCAGAGACGGCGTTTCTCGNTATAGATTCACAATGACAAAAAGCCGTGCTGTTATTTTGAGACTATGGTACCTTTGACAGTATAGTTCACGTGTCCATTTACGAAATATATGTCCGATAATTAAAGAATTATTAATTTTATCGCCAATTTACCAACGTTACCGCTAAATGACATTTTATAATTACTCTTTTTGCAATTTAAATTTAAAAATGAAAACTAGTTAATTAGCTCATTATTTTTATAATCTTAAAGGAATTTTAAAGTCATAAATTAAATATTTGATTTTGAAATATGTTTATTTAAAATGTTATCATACTTATAGACATTAAGTATTTATAGGTCTGTTTATTATATCGATTTTTTGCTGATTTATTTAATTATTTATTATTTTCATAATTGTAATTCGATTAGTTTTAAAGAGTAGAGATTTATTAGTGCAGTAAACACGACATAAATGTAAAAATACAACAATAGATAAACTAACTTGACATTGTTTTTAAATCAATTTACTTTTTAGAAACGTTTATCATTGTGTTTATTTCTTATTTTTAAATTTAATGGTTAAGGATGACTACGAAATCATTTATAAATTGGATCCGTGTTATATACCTTGACACAAGTCGTGTAACTTCAGTGCATTTTACTATATTGACTGGTGAACGTAAGTAATAGCTTTGGTTTTACCGAACAATAATTAAAATTTTTTTAGAATTATGCATTTCATTACGCAAGTTCATACGCTGAAGGTTTTAAAGATGGTTTAAAAAAAGAAACAATATTTTTTACAAATCATAGCTTATTTATTTTTACAATATACAATATATTACAATTTTTACAATACAAAAATATCACCTAAAACGTTGATATTTTTGTATTATATTTATTTGATTTTTTAATTCTTTTCAAATTGGGATTAAACCTCCAATTGTTCTTAATTTTACAGCGTTTTGAAATGCAAAATTTGTAAGTAACGTTTATAATTTTCGTGCTTTTTTAACTGCAAAAAAACATTCTTATTTTTTGTTGTTTATTTGAGAAATAACTTGCATCTCTACAAGTGAAGTAGAGACTACATCGTAATATATAATTAGTAAAAATAATATAAATCACGAAATTTTTAAAATTATTTGTTCATATTACTCGTAATGCAGTAGCTCTTTGTTATATGGCGCGTGTCGGAGAACACATCTAATGAATATCAGATGTGCGATATAACTAAAAACTATACATTTACATTTTCTGGTGAATACGGAAAATGCAGCAATTTTTCGTAAACACCTCTTGAATAATTTACAATATTTGCTTAATTCGATGAATTTACTTTCAATGATTACAAGAATAATCGAAGTAATACAATAACTTTAAAATCGGCACAGATTATTTATCAATGACTGCGCTATTTTTTAAACAATCTATATATATAATCAAGACGGGTTGATAATAATAATAATAAGCGCAGAGCCCAAACGGTTAGGAGTTGAAAGTTGAAATTTGGTACACAGAGTACGTCATGAGAATGTACACTATGAAGGGTTTATTCGGAATTTTCCTGGGGGGGAGAGGATTAAAGCTTCAACAATTAAAGTGTTCAGTTACAATGGAAGTGTTAATAATGCAAGTTTTAACAATGGAAGTGTTAAGAATAAAAGTGTTAATAATGGAAGTCTTAATAATTGAAGTGTTAAGAGAAAGCGACGTGCAAGATTTACAGGCTTCAGATGCGGTTATTTCGTTTTTGCGGGAAATAGAACATATTTTTAGATCCATCTGAAAATTTTTTTAATTAGTCTGGAAACAGCGGGACCTAATTCTTGCATTCTGTGAAAACGTGTAAGATTGGCTATAATGTAATAATTTTAATCTTCGCTATTGTTACTTTTTGCCCGAGCAACGCCGGGCTTATCTGCTAGTAAATGAATAGCGATAAAAATAAAGATTAATTCGAAAGTCAGTTAACCCAAATATATTTTACAAACGGTTTAAACCGGCGTAGAGTCGTCGATCATACTGATAAAACCTTCAAATAATATCCTGGTAAACGGACTTTTTGACTACTTTATATAAATTTATTATTATTTTTTATTTTTAACCAAATCTTTTCTATTTAACATTAAAGATATAGACCTATTAACACGTAATAAAACAATTGAATAAACAATTATATTTAAATTAAATTAATTTACATAACAAATTAATATCTTTAAAAATAAAACTCACGAAATGTTTAATTTTATTAATTTTTCAACACTATTAGAAAACAAATGTCATAAAAATATGTAAATAATTGTGTTTAATCTCATTGTATAAAAGGTAGTTCAAAAGTCGAGGTATATTTTAAGATTTTTTAAGAACGATAAAATCCGTTTTGAAACATCTGCATGTTATTAAATAATTCTTAAAACTAATCTTAAAAAATATATCGGTTAACAAACTTTTGAACAATCCTATATAATTAATAAAAAAATTAGAATTATATTTGATCAGAGTATTTAAAAATGACCATTTAAATTTTCAAAAGATAAAATAAAATTGATTTATTTATAAGATAATAAATATACGAATAACATCTGAACCAAATATATAAAGAAATCAATATTCAATATTATTTTCGATTCATTTGACAATTTAATATTTTGTGTAATAATTGTTACATCGTTTCGACTTAAATCTTTTTATGCAATTTTCTAATTTCTTATAATTTTAATAAAAAATATTCTTATAAAAATAAAAATTAATAAATCATTCGTTGAATATTTACTGACTTGTTTGTAAAAGCTTTTATATAACTTGTTTTCTATCATATCATCAAATCGTGCAACTCAAATTTCATTCACTTCTAATTAAGATAAAAGGCTGAAACTGTGAGTACATACCTAAGTTGTATGACAATGTATTTAAATTATGTTTTACACGGACCTGCTCCACTGTTTCCTACACCCCGAAACCCGGTAAACATAATTATATGTAGAATTTAACCATGTATATGTGTGTAAATGCATTGTTATGATGTATGTGGCGGGGTTTGGCTATACTAACTATTTCTCATCCCAATCGTGAATAAACAGATTATTAGAAATGATTTTAATTTTAAAAAAGGAAATCTTATCTTGTTTCAAAACTTAAAGTAATTTTTAATTTTTTGATTTTAGTAAATTTTAACAATTTTCTATTTTTAAGATTTAAATTCAAAAAGGAAACAATTTTTTATAACGTTTCCTTTATTGTAAAATAGTTAAGTTAATTGCTTTTCTTCTGATTAATTGCTAAAGAAAATATAAATAACCGAGAATTACGTATCAATTCATTTTTTAAAATATTTTTTTCTTTGCTAGAAGTGCAAAATGAAGTTGTGCATTTTGTTTGTATTAGGAGCGATTGCATGCAATTTATGTGCCATCAATGGCTTTAGAATGAAAAGACAGATAGATGACTTTTGCGGTGAGTGTGAGAAATTTCGTATTTAATTCTCAAATGTTAATAATAAATTTACTTAATTTTAGACATATTTTTAAAATAATCATAGTTTTAGATATATAAAAGTATATTACAATCGTACTTCTATTTAATTTACACTGTTTTTCAGATTTGCCTGTAAAACTTCGAAGTACTGTATGGAATTGTATGGAGTTGACTATGCCCTTACAGGACAGACAAACGGTTAGTTATTTTAATAATACTTAATAAATTGTTGTTAAGGTATATAAATGTTAATATTCAAATATAATTTGTCAGTTTTCAGATATTGCCCGATGTCTTAGTGTAGCTAACTTTGTTGACGTTATGAATAAAATGTGTGGCAAAACAGAAGATGAGGTAATATAATTTCATTCGTTTTAGTATAATTAAAAACATAAATGAATACATTCACATGAACAATTACGAAAATATAATGTATATAATCTCTATTTCGTAGATTGATGCAATAGCAGCACTACATGAAGAGTGTTTGGCAGAGGTGGACTTGGTTGTACTAAATAATCTCGTAAGTTGAAAGTAAAAATAAACACAAATTTTCTTTTTATTTTTACTTAATTATTTGCAATTTTTATACTTTTAGGATGTAGACGAAGAGGAGGTAGCGAATTGTGTCAAGAATAATCTTTGAAAAAAAAAAAAAACATTGACGTGCACGATTCGTCGCTGTATAGTTTATCCAATGTTGAGCCATCTATTAATTTTCGTGAAATGCGCATAATTAATCCTTGTAAACCTTAATAATTTGTTTTTAAATTTAATAATATTTGTTTGTAATAAATTAGAAAATTATTAATAAACAGATTTGCATTGCGAATTAAACTTTTTCTTTTTGATATGAAAATTAATTTAAAAAGAAAAGTATTATAAATTTTCACATATAAAACTCTGAACAAATTATTTAGAATATACAGTATATATATATGTCAAATATTACATAAATGATAAATGTAACAAATGCTTTCTTATTAATACTTTTAATTAATTAATATTATGTATTACTTCTTGACGGAAAATTTATAATTTGGTGTGTTGTTATTTGTTTGCTAGTTTATCAGGTCGTACTAAAGTAATTACTACAACTAAATTATACGTTGAACAAAGTGGGTAGTGTTGTTTATATTAGAGGTGGATGGCATCAATGCAGTTTAAAATCAGTACGTATATTTACTAGCGTTATTTCGGGGTAGTTTATATAATAAGTCTTTTACTTTTTCTGCTAAGTTTTATTTTGATGGGAAACAAAGTTAGATATCTGAAATGAAGAGTCTTTCTTGGACGTTTTGTATAGAGTTCCGGAGTACCAAACTTCCCGATTTTTTAAGTAGTGAGTTTCTAAAAAACGTAAAGATGTTAACATTGCATTATTGTATAAGAAATATGCAAATAGGAAATATAGTGTCTTTCTAAGAAATGTTGATGAGTAAAACATAATAAAAGTATTTGGCTACAACGGAACACAATGCATTATCCGATCGGGAGTGACGTTGGATCAGTGTAGTTTTACAGCGTGTAAATATATAAAATCAGCCAACCAATGCTGTTATGCTCTGTGAATATTTGAAAATTGTTGATAGGCCTATAAATTAACTGTTGACAACGTATTGGTCTTTATTAACGCATAGATCATCTACAAGATTTTTTTAGTGATATGATTTTGAATCACTATATTTTTCTTTAATTTCGCAATAGATTCGCGCTGCTGTTTGATTTTATTCGGGAATAGTTGTTTTACGACCTCCATTTCTTTTATGATTAAGGATTAAATATTTTTAAAATGACAAAAATTCAAATTATTTACATTTTAAAAAAATCTTTCTGTTTAATATTCTAGATACGAAGCTCAATTATTTTTGTCTTTATGACAATAAACCCTGTCAGTTTAGCTTTAATACAACACGATAAATTTACATTAAACATGTCACTTATGACGATAAGGTGTTAATGTTGCCATGCTCTCATGGCGTCGACTGCATGGAGTGGAGCGCGTTTTTTAACTGTGATTTATAATAAATATATAAAGTTTGATAAGTATTTACGATATGTTTAGTTTTTTATATTCATATAATAATTAAATTTTTAATTAGTAACTAATGATTATTAAGGTAAGAAAACGGAATTACATATTTGACGTACGTGACACGTTGCGTGTGACAATATAAAATAATTGTTTCTGTCGAGTTCAAAGATGAAGTGATGTACACGTGGTAAAATTATTTACAGTTTCATAAACAATGGGACCGATTTAACGGTAATGGAATGACCCGAAAACGTGACTAGGTAATAAAAATTATAAAAACGGAAAAACTTAAGCTAATAATTCGTTCCGTAAAAAAATGTATAAATAAGAATATAATTCTTAAATATGCTTTAATCTAATGATGTAAGTGTCAAGTATTATAAGTATTTTGGTAATTAAAAATTGTTGATATTAACGATATAGATTTTCATTTCTTACAAGTCTATTGTTACTATTCCGGAATAATAATACGTTTGTCATTTGTTTTGTGTTAGTAATAATTTTTACCAATGTCTTCTGTGTAGTTATTATTTGGCGGGACATATAAAAGAAAGACAACAGAAAAATAAGGACGTCTGAAATCTTTATTGATAAAAGACATTTTACATTAAAAAAAAAACTATGATAACTTAAAAGAAAAGGGAGCAAAAGTGGAAACATGAAAGAAACGTCTTCAGACATGTTTTAAAGCTATTTCAGTTGATAACATGCGTGTGGTATGCAAGCGTATTTCTAATAAAGAGTTGGTCCATTTTCTAAAATGTAACTTGTGGGCTCAGCTGATATATATTAGAGAAGAATGCTATATGTACGTGTTCACTGTACAATTAAAAATGAATAAATATTTATTAAACGAGTCAAAAAACAATGACAAATTTACCTCCTTGTATGACGCACTTTATCTGTTACAGGGAAACTTGTTGTATCCTTGATTGTTTTATGCAATAAATGAAAATATTCTTATTTTTTAAATTTATTTGTCCGTCATATAGCTGAAACATATAGTTATCCAAACCAACTAGAAAATAAAACATAACAAAAACAAATAAAATCACTCTAAACATTGATGCAATTAGTCCCAGTCCTTTCTACGTATTAAGTACCTAAATTAATTTATCCAATTGTAAGGTTCACAACATTTAAAAATTAATTAAAATTTCTAAATGTTATTTCTACAGTACAATATAAATATATTATCTCAGAGTCAAATGTACTCAGATGTTTTAACATTATAATATTTGGATAAAAGGAATAAAATCAATTCTAGACTCGAATGCTGTTTACGAAGACGGGTATCTTCTGAATTGCAAAATTTCCACCTATTTATAAGTTAAGACTAGGAGTTTCGTTATGTTACATTTTATTCGAGTCGCCTTTCGTACTTGAGAACAACTGGAACACTAAACTATCTGACAGATTGAGGATCAAGTTTTTTTCTGGGGACATGACAAATACTTTTGTCTTACATTTATTATAGAAGCATAAGTTTTCTTACGTAATTTCAATGTAAATATTGATGTTCTGTATATGTGTAGGCTTTCTTCCACCAAAACAATAAAATTATATAAAATACGACTTAATTTGATTTCTTAAACGGTTTTATTCTCATTATTGACAGGTGAACGTAAAAGAAGCTGATCATAAACGAAAGCTAAAAAAAATAGAAAGTGATATTGCATAGCTATTTTTTAAGAAGCATAGTTAGTTACTAAACTGTCAAACAATACATACGTATAAAAAGTCTCATATTTAGAAATTATTGTCATATTAAAAAACATGAAATCTGAGTTTCAAATTATTTCTTCGTTCTTCTTATTCATCTGCATCATCTTCTTCCTCTCCACGAAAATTATCGAACCTGTAAATCAGTCTTCACTGCAGAGTCTCGTTTTTATGAAAGTACATTTTGTTTCCGTTGCTTCTGAGTAAATGTATTTAGATAACGATTAATAAGAATAAATTTCTTAGTTTTATTTTCACTCACTTTTATATCTTCTATGCTTTTAAGTTTATTGTAAATTTTTTCAGAAAGCCGAATTGAATCATATGGCATTGATTTAATTCGTGATATGCTATTCCTAATTATAACATAGATATAATTAAAGCTGATAAAACAAAAGACTTAATATTATATTATCTGGCTATATAGAAATGAAAAAAGTTGGAAAATAAAATACTAATTATCAACGACTACAACAACGTTTATATCACAGATTAAAACGTATCTTAGACACTTACAAAAGCAATTTAACGAAAGACAGATATAATGATTTATGGGGCAACCACGAAAAGATGAATTACTCAGATAATGTCAATGTATCCTCGCTTGTTCGAAAATTAATGCTCACTATAATCTAATGCAAATGTGTAATTCGCTAATGATAATAATTCTGTTTACTTGTAAATATGTAACAATGGTATTTGTAAAATTTATTTTTTTTGTAAATAAACTATTTTTCAAAAAAAAGTAGGCAGAGTGGGAATATCTTGTATCGCTATTATTATTTTACTTTCTTTTTTTTAATATCTCTTTTGGCTTTAGAGATAATTAATGTTATTAATGTTATTGTCTCTGTTTATTCTCATTTCTTATATTCTTAATATTTCGAATTGTTTCTATATTTTTCGTAAATTGGTACATTTTTGCTTTCAGAAACAAAAATAGAAAACCGTGCACATTTATAATATAAAGTAATAATTGAAAATCGAAATACGATAAACGATTCGAGTGTTGTTTCAGTCGCAACTTCATTTCCAAATATATTGACACAGGGAATAACGACGTTTCATAGTTTAAAAGATTTGTTTTCCAGAAAATTCGTTATTCATTTCCTTTGTTTCTCTCTTGGTTAAACTGAATATATTCAATAACAACGCGACTTTTGAAATTTCTGAGTTACACGTTTACATCACCCTCTCGTGACGTTAAATGATAAAAACACTTTGGCAAGATTCACTCTACACGTTTACTGTTATCCTAATACGGCTTATAAATGATTTCTTATATTAATTTGTTTATATAAATTATAATGGCTGGAAAAATATACGAAGCGTTGATACAGAAGGGCGTAACTCCACTTTTTCGAATTTTTATAAACAAATAAGCTATTTTTCAAATATTAGTCTGTATAATAAATATTATAATAGTTTCCTCAATTATTTTTATTTTGTTTTTTAAAAATTTGGAAATTTTAAACTGTTTTTTACAAAGTTTGTAATATTTTTTTAAACTCCTTCGCTTAAGTAATAGTAATAACTGTAATATTTGTAATAATTAATAATTTAATTAAGTAACTGCTGATTAACTAATTTTACAAAATAAGTTATCGTTTTATTTGTTTTCAATGTTAATCTTTTTTCGTAGCATTGTGCAATTAAATAATAAATAATTTATGCAAAACATAAAATTTATAGTAATACATCCGCCGATAGAAAAACTATCGAATAGTTTCGGATCTGATGTCACCCCCGATTGTAAGCAATCAGATGGGAAAGTTGACACATAGGTGTCAGAAATTGCACTGTCATCGTCAACATGGGCTATCACGTGACCTCTTTCCCATGACAAGAGAATAAAAGCTCGAGCCCCCGGAAGTTCAGGGCGATCGAATTGGAAGTTATACTTTCTAACTGTGTGCAAACCGTCTCCCGGACAATGGACCCGATTCAACGACAGGACAAGACACCGGTTGAAGACAGATTACGATTTCGGACTTCCATACAGTTCGCCATATCGACGAGGACAATGATTCCTACGAAATTATCGACGCGTACCGTTCGTTTTCTCATAGAGGTATTTTTGTTAGCGATTTGTGAACTCTCTTCCCCGCAACGGGAATAGGCTTAGCTAGGGGCTGCCGTTTTGTATATATTTAGTATTTAATCACCTCTAACCTCCTGTATGTTAACCTTAAATCTTAATAAATGCCTTGTTTAATTGTTAAACCTGTCTCCTGTCTATCCAAGGACACCTATCGCTTGCTCACACCCCTCGACACTCGATATAAAGCCATCCAAACGACAAAGTGGACGAGTTTTATCAACTCGACGTGTAAGTGACAATTATGGTACTGGCCCTGTGCCCTCGTATTCTCACAATAATTTAGATTAAATTAGTTAGCCTAATAAATAGGGTTTTAATAAATTGGAGAGCTTGTTATCCCTTACAACTTTATTTATTAGGCTAAATAATTCAATCTAAATAATATTTTCATTATTTATTTTCCAGAAAATATACTTCTTTGATTTCGTATATTGTCTTATTTAATCTTTTAAAACGAAGCTATCCTTTCCGTTTGATCTCATTTTCTCTACTCTTTCAATTAAAATTTTCGAATAATATTAAATATCTAATTAATTTGAATTTATCATCTTTATAAAAGTAAAATTTTAGAAAAGAAAACAAATATTTGATAATAATTTTTATTAAATGATATAAATGATACAGATTTATATTTCCAAAATACATTTTGTTAAATGTAATCTTCAATAATTCTTTATTTATCGCCTTCTTCTAAACATTAAAATTAAAGAATAAAATAAGAGATTATATAAGAGATATGGACCAAATTATAAACGAAATTATTAGTTATAAGTCATGCTAACCTTCCATAAGATCTTCGATCTCTTTATACTTAAGGGCTTCGTCAGAACACTGTCTAACTACCTCCTCATCCAGATTCTAGAAATAAAATAATCATTAAAAATTTGAACATTTCATAATAATATAATATTAATATAATTACCAAATTAAGAAGACCCTCTCTTTCTGCGAAACATTCTTGAATGACTTTAACCTGAAATTTATAAAAATTAAATATAATTGTTAATGTTAGTTTAATAATATTAGAACAACTTACTTCGGGAGCATCGTTATCAAGAAGACACAGTAATTCAATTGCATGCAGAAATGAGGGTACTTCGGCACATTGAACGAATTCAGTTATCTAAAAATTAATATTAAATTTATGTTACTCTTCAATGGCATATTTAATTTCTTAAAAAAAAAAAACCACACAACTTACCTCCTTTAAGTAAGGTTTGGGTATGAAAGGTGCAAGGCAAGCGAGATAAATGCTTCTTTGGTCGGGAGTAATGGCTTTAAAATAAATAATATTAAAATTAATTTTAAAGTATAAATCATTGCTGGAGTGTTTATTTTTAAAATATATATTTAAAATTAATAATTAAAGAACATACCGCATACTGGATTGTCTTTTTTAAAGTCTTCACCAGATACACAAAATATAAAACACAGAAAGAATATAGAGAATATGTAATTTTTAAACATCTTGTATGTTTTGAAAATTAAACTAAATAATTTTACTTGTAGTTAAATTATCAAGAAAATATATCCTGTTTTCGATTGCTTCCTAGAACTATTTTATCATATCATGAATTTGTAGCCATTTCCTCGTAATAACGAGACCGCAATTAATATATAATAAAATTTTAATTAATAAAATATTTTTTTGAAGAATTGATAATAAAATTCGAATGAAATTTAAAAGAGGGGAAATACATTCTACAAATATTATTATTAAAATACGAAAAAATTACATATTACACATTATATAAAGAATTGTTTTAGTCTTTATTACTTTATTTCACTTTAAAATAAAATTATACTTGTACAAATTAATTTTTTAATTTAATTTAATTAGTTGATTTTATATTTTACAGTTTTAGTTCAATATAATTGTAATTGTATTGTTATTATACATGAACTTGGACACTTTAATCTAAATATATAAAATTGCTTGTCCTGACTGACTCATTCATTCATTCACTGATTCATCATCGCCCAGAGCAAACCGCTTAACCTAAAGAGGTGAAATTTGGTACACAGTTAGGGTACGTCATGGAAACGCACACTAAGAAAGGATTTTTCGAAATTCCAACGCGGGGGGGNATTTCATTAAGTTTCAACTTCTTTCAATTTTACAAATTAATTATAAATCCTTATCATAAATAATTCATTGAACGTTTCTAAAGCCCAGTTAATTCATTTGATTTTATAAATTTATCATCTGTTTTAGGAAATAACAATTTAATCTAAAGACTAAAATACGTATTTAACGTATATATTTCAATTCTATAACATATTTAACTTAATTTTACCTTATTATAATTAGAAATTTGATTAAACTATTTTTAAAGCATTTTTAAAGTATATTACTTATGTGCTTTTTATTCACAGATATAAAAAGTTAAACAAATAACTGATTATGATTAAAGTAATAAATTTATTATTCACGAATACGGAATTCGGGAGTTCTGTGGATTATGGATTTGTGGAAAATCGAATTATACAGTACAAGACTTCAAGGTATTGGTAGAATTGCCCATTAATCTATCTTATCTATGCTTTTACTTCATCACTGTAATGTAATAACTTAGTACAAGTTATTCTGCCTTCGACTAAAGTTTAAAAAGATGCCTTACTGTTTTCAATGGATCAAATAAAGAATAATTTTATAATTTTTACTTCAGAAGACAAATTAATAGAATGAATAACGAATAATTATTTATTGTGGTATTGTCACAATGTCGGGCTGCAATTTTTAATTATATTTATAATTAATTTAACCGGTTACACGCTCTAATTATAATCAGAGTTTTCAACCTGTAAACCATAATACAATACAAATTAAAAACACACCTCAGTAGCTTGTACACACCGTTCGACACTATAATTTAATTAATATTAATACAGTATTATATTTAATATTTAATTTATGTTTTGTTAAAATTTTTAAATGATAATAAAAACTAAAATTAATTTTTTAATAGAGAACAAGCTGTATATTACATTAATTTTGTGAGTTTTGTGGCAATAAATCAATGGGAGGAAGTAGAGTCGGAACAAATACAGTGGGCACTGGTGATACTGGTGGATTTTCTTTTGGAGGATCTCTATGTAATAACGGCCCTCGAAAGTAGACATTTATAACCATATTTTTCAAAAGTCCAAGATGGTGGTCTGATCTCATCATTTGTACCACTCTGTTCAGCAAAATATCTCTTAAAACTGGTTCGACAGATGAATTATTTCCTAAATAAAATTAAAAATCATTACGTAGTATATCAACTATTAAAACATTAACAATTTTTAATTATATTTTTAATTTATTTAATTTAAAATATATGCTCTCCACCCCAAATAGTATCTTGTCACAGTATATTATACTTTTCCCGTTAGCAATAGTCATGTCGGGCATCTAACACTTTCAGGGGAAAACGTTTAAATCGAAATATCGTGACTCCCGGTTTTGAACGGAAATTAATATATAGTTAATCTGGTTCTCCCTCTCTTAATCTTTACCTATCTGGTCTAGGCTTTAATCTAGTTCCGTTCTTGAAATTAAGGAAGGACAGACACACGACAGTAGGAATTTATACGTCTACAGTTTCAAATTGGGTTACATTAATTGGGTTTCAAATTGCAACCCAATTAATAGCAAAATATTATTAATACAACTAAAAAGATAAAAAGTATATTTATAATATAAAAAATATAGAAGAAACTAAGACCTATTCATTTCCACCATGTCTAATCACCAGGAACAAAACAGTTTTCCTTCGCAGAGACAACGTTTTATTAGAGGTTATGCCTGTGCAAAATTATATAAAACAGTTAAAAATTTCACTGATTATAAACCAGAAAATTAAAATGTATATATGTGTGTGTGTGTGTGTGTAATTTAACTTTTATATATAATTCTGCAGAGGCGTAGCTTCTAATAAAATGTTGTCTCTGCGAAGGAAGAGTTTATGTTTCCGGTGATTGGACATGACGGAAATGAAGATGACGTTGTTTCTTTAATATTTTTTTAAACTATTGATACAAAATCCAATAACTAAAATAAATTTACGTAAATATGAATTATAGAATTTAATTATATAGCGTTAAAATCATTGAAATGATTACCTATATCTGATCCAGCGAAACAAATTTTCATAAAGAAAGCGCTGTACAACAAAACGATTAATAATCTAAATAATATATTTTAAGTTAATTCTTACGTATTATTTATTAAAGTAATTATTTATATATTAATACTAGATAAAGATTAATATTTAAAATAAATTTCGTTTATACATTTTATAAATTATTTATCGTATTTACAAATTAAAAATTAAAGATAGAATTATCGTTACCTTAAGAAATTCATACTATCACTGTTTTATCAGTTGATTTTCCAATTATTATTAATGTATAATTATGAAATTTAGAACAAAATTAACCATTATATAAAATGAATTGTTTACATTTATTTATTTAAAATTTTACAAATCGAAAATATTAGAACTGGAATAAACAATTCTAAAAACTTTGTTGTTTTTAACAATTCTGAAAAATTTTAATAATATTTACAAAGTTCTTTTTAAAAATAATATTTTCTGTATTTTCAATTAATTTCACTCTTTATAAAGAGTGAAATTATATAAAATTATATAAAATTATCTCTGAAATTCAGAAATTAGCATAAAACATAAACTAATAACTTAAAATAAGAAATTTTTCAAAGATTTAAAACATTTATGCGGTTACTAATTTAAAATCCCTTAATAAACAAACGTTATTATTATTTTTAATTAAATAAATCACTTTAGTGATCTACAAAAGTGATTTGTTTGGCTTGATAGGATAAGACAACGCAACACATAAACGATTTACCAAGAAGATTGTTCCTCCCCGGAGGACTTCTCATAGGAAATTAGCCCCGTTTAGTATTAGAAATGTGAAGAAACTCGGAAAATTCAATGTGACTACCTCGTTAATGATGCGCGAACCCGCAAATAACTAACTGACTACGAACCAGTGCTGATCGCGTTTGCTGAGTGTTTCTTCTCGGACACTAATGAGCAGAATGACAAAGTGTTTGCTTAATTTAACTTTATTTTTCATTAAAAGCTGTGTTTTTGAAATACCTATACTTCTACTCGAGATATTACACCCGCTATATTTCTTCACCTCTTTACCTTTTTAACTATCAAAATTAAATAATAATTTTTAGTACCATAAATTATTTATACCTAAAAGTTACGTATAAATTCTATTATTACGCAGAAGAAATAGAAACTCTGATAATGACAATTATTACAGTTAATATCCTAGTTAATTTTTGTCGTTTTTGAACACCATATAGTTCAGATACACAACACAAGGCAATCTTCATTTTAAATAAAATTGAATAAATTTAAAATGAAGATTGCCTTGTGTTGTGTGTCTGAACTATATGGTGTTCAAAAACGACAAAAATAATCGGTTTCAAGAAAGTAAAATCCTAGTTAATTACCTTTTTAATTCATATAGACTTAATACATATTAACTATCCTAGTTAATATGAACAACAAGATGACTTAATAAAGATTTACTCATTATTGGCGTTTACAGTATCTTTAAAAACCCATATCTAACCTCAAGCTTAATCTTTTCTAGACAACAAATCACAATATCGCCAAAACTATTTAATGCTGTTTTAGTGGAAATTTTCAGAAGTCTAGAAAGGAAAAAAAGAAATTAAAATTAACGAGGAATTTCTGAGCAGAGACGACTTTACAGACAATATAATTTCATTAGTAATAACCAATATGAATTAGCAATTCTGGAGGAACTAGCTGGGGCAAACATTCAAGTGAAATCGAAGATGAATCTCTAAAGACGAATTAGATGTTTAGATTAAAATGTTTAACGAATTTACTATGAAAAAGATTATGACAAAAACCGAGATTGAAGAACTATAAAATTATGTCTACCTGGGTGAAGAAATAATTATGGATAACGATATTACGAATGAAATAAACAGAAGAATTAGGATGGGATAGAGAACATTTGGAAAAATGGCATAATTCTAAAAAGCAATCTATCACTGTGCGTTAATAGAAAAGTATTCAATCAATGTGTTCTACCAATACTTACCCAGGCAGCAGAAACGTGAGAATTAACAGGCAAAACAACAAAGAGGCTACAGACAACACAAAGAACTATGAAAAGATGCATGCTGGACATTACGAGAAGAGACAGAGAGCGAATCACCTGGATAAAAAATTAAACAAAGTTATAAGACATCATTAAGAAAATCAAACGTTATAAATGACAATGGAATGGACACATTGGTAAAAGACAAGACAACACATGGACTACAGATATTTTAGTTTGGTACCCCGCGAGGATCAAACGCCCAAGTACGATGGGCAGACAAAGTAAGGAAATTATTTGTCGTAAATTGGAAAACCAAAGCATTAGACAGAGAAAACCGGAATAGATTAGAGAAGACCTTCATGCAACAGTGGATCGACATTGGCTGATGATGATGATGATGATATGACTTATGCTTGGTATATATTCCCTAACAGAAATTAGTTGTGTCTAACGCTAAATTTTTATCCAATTTACATGAAATAAAATAATAAATTGATATTTATTTTGTTTCGGAAATATAAAATATAACACAAAAAATTTTATAAAGACAAATCAAATTTGAATATTGTTTATGAAAATCTAGCAACAAGTGGGTGTAACCTTTCCAGAAATATGTTAAAGTTGTATCTGGCGCCATCTGTTATGAGATATTATTAAAATCTTTTTTATATTATTAATTATTATAAAATAACAAAAAGCTTAATTTTGAGAATAGAAATGAGTTTTTAATAATATTGTAAATGCTAATAACGAACAAAATATTCATTAAGTCCAAACCACTCGAGATATGATATTGTATATGAAACCCCTCTAACTCCACATCCCTATGACCTTTTACTACCATAATTTAACAGCATCAATGTACCTAATACACAAACCTCCTGGTAAAATATCAGATATTTTCGACAAAAGGCACACGAGTTATTAAGCTGTATTGGGTGAATAAAAATCGTGTTCTGTGTGAACACCCATACACACACATATACCTGCATTCATATATACAGAAAAAGCTTTTAATTTATTTTATTTTATTTTTTCATTTTTGACATTTAAAGTTTATCTGAGTTCAAAAATGTGAAAAATTTAGAGGAGGGTTATTTTTTTGACCGATTGTCATACTTCTCCTCTGTTATATAGGCGGGAAAGAGAAAATCATTTATATAATAATTGATTTAGTTTTATGTTCGTGTAATAAAAAAATCTTAAAATATTTTACTTGTATTCTTTCAAATCCAATTCCACTAAATATACAGGAATCGTAACATAATAATTATTGTTTATAGATCATATATAAATTAATGCTTAACGATTATTATCCTTGTTTTAATGAAATTAAATTATACTAATATTAATTTTTGTCACAATTTCATTGTTTATATTTGTATAAAATGTTATTATCATAAATAATTTAATAATTATTGATTATGTAACATTAATACTATATTAACCTTACATTACTTTCAAAATCGTTTTAATGATTTCAACATAATTAATTTCATTTACATTAAAGTAGAATTAAAAGTAACTTATTAAAAATATATCTATAACGTAATTCTGTTTTGGAAAAATAAAATTAAATAATTATTTAAAAATAAGCATTTAAAATATTTGAATAATGCTAAAGACGATGTAACGAGGTGTGATTTTTATTTAAAGAAATTAGCATTTGCATTTTGTTCATATCTACAATTAAAATTACGAAATAGAGAAAATATTAATGTTTATTTGCATACTTCGTTATATAATTATCATTGGAGTAACATCATATCTCGAAGATCTCCATAGCAACTTTCAATTGCATAACTGCAATATTTCGAGGTATGATAAATATCAAATCAATATTGTGCACGGTTGTTTATCGATTATTCTTTAGTAGCAACCCTCAATATTCATCGTTTTATCATATGCCAGAAGAAAAGTGAATTCGCCGCTCTTAATTCAGGTTTGAAGATTAATTTTATATAAAATTTAATAATTAAAATAATTTTTTAAATTTATAGAAACGGAAAAAATGATGAAATCAAACTTTAACAATTTTTAATTAATTTTTGAATATATCGTGTTTATTTCTTTCGTTAAAGCTTCAGAGTAAAATTTTAAGTATAAGTTTATTTATAATTTGAAATATTTTAAAATTATTTAGAAATTTAAAATAATTCCCAAATATTTCATTTTCTGTCATAAAAAAATGTTTTAATCTTCGTAAAATTTATAAAATTGGAAATAATTTAGTCATATAATAATTATTTTCTTTCTAATTTATAATTTATTTTTCTTGCTTCAAGAAAGAATTTCTTAATTCGTATTTGTAATAACATCGTTTAACTTAAGAAATAAATATAGAAATTATTCTTTATCTCAAATATTTTTTTAGAAATTTATCAATTAATTGAATTTATTAACTATTTAATAACTTTTTTCTGTGTTTGAAATTATTCTATAATTTTTTTTTATAATATTAATAACATAGGCCTATATTTAATAGGAGAGCTAAATGTATTCAGAAATGATAGCATTATTATTTTAATATTTCTCGTTAATGGAAATTAATTTTTTTGTAGCATAGAAAACATAAAATTGTCATTAAAGATTGCAAATATAATCAAATTATATCTTGCTTATGTTATTTGGTCTCTAGTACTGTACAACTCATTGGTTTCATGACACGTCGCAATTTCCAAGTTAAAAGAACTTGCTGTATTCTAATTTTTCAAGTTAAAATAATTTCATTTAAAAGTGTGCTTTGTCAGCATTATATACAGTACATAATTATATAAAAATAAAATTTAATGCATACAAATTTGCTTATTAAGTATGCGAACATAAAGTCGAAAGATTAAAAATGAAAATTTTATCAATTTAAACTTATAGATTGTACGATATTTATATAAAAATTTAGTATGAACTTATAAATGTTTTTCTATCTTATACCAACCATAATATTATTGATTGAAATCCAGACAATTTACATCGATTTAATTCATCGATAAATAACGAATTAAATTTTAGTTTTCAGTATAAATAAGCCGATGCTCTTAAAGAATAATAATTAAAAAGTAAAAGGATGCATAAAACATTAATTTCATGTATTAATAATATTTTTAAAGTTAATTTAGGAATTAAAGATTTATGTCTTAAATTAGCATAAATATATTATTGAAAACTTAACTCAGTATATTAAAAATTGATATAACGATGAATTAATTTTATTTTATAAAATTATCCAATTACCTTTTTATAGGTGAACAAACTGCAAATTTAAAGGAAAAATGAAGATATTATTTATCCTGTTAATACAAGGATTCCTTATTTCACTCGCTTTTGCAGGAGAAACTAAAGACGGAATAAAACTCTTTACTCAGCCAAAATTTTGCTGTATGAATTTATATTTAAAAATATAAACTTTGAAATATGCTTTGCCGTATATATATAGGCTATATACGTATATATATATATATATATATAATATTAATAGATAAATTATGATTACATTATTTAATGAAATTAATCAGTTGTAATTCTTAAGCAATTTTTGTAATTTATAAATACTGTGTTGAAATTGTTTTAACTATTGTTGTAACTATTGATAAACTATTTAAAAATTTAATTAGTATTAAGACTATCGAATTAAAAGTTTTATTATTGGTTAAAATTTCATATTTTAGCCTTATCCCATGAGATGACAAGACTGACTTGGAAATGTCTGGATGTTCTTCTCACTGAAAAACAGAAGGAACGAGTACGTATATTAACTGCTAATTAAGGGATTGCTAATTAATGTCTGTTTTTATTGCATATCTCTAGTTAGTAATTAAATATAATCTTTGTTTTTTTTTCGGATGAGTAACTGAATATTCAATTTTTAAAAGTTTAAAAGGATTTTATATAAAATAAAATACACTAATAAATTTTTGTAATGGATGAAATAAATTAACAAAATAAACCGGAAGTTTATATATAGTTAATCTGGGCTTCCATTCGCTGTTCTTTCCCTATCCGTCTCGTCATTTATTTATTAAGACTATTCCCGAAGTTAAAGAAGGACAGACAAACAAACAAACGAACGGCAATGGAAATTTATGTCTACAATTTTTTTTCAAATTGTAGCCCAGTGAAGTTTTAGTTTTATTTTTTAAACAAAAACTACTTAAATTTTTAAAGATGTAATACATTTATTTAAAAAGCTTTAATTTAAAAATCTGTCAGACAGTTTAATCAGTTAATTTATACAACTGTTGAATTAATGTAATAAGCTTATTTTAATAATTTGAATTTAAAAAAAAAATTCTTTTTATTTTAGTTGGCGAAATTTATTAAATGTGTTGAAGAACCATCAATTGTCGAATTTATTAAATCAGTTTGTGCTATCAATAAAGGCGAGGTAAACTTTTAATAATACAAAATATAATTTTCTCACAAGTATCCCTTTTATAATTAGTAAATATTATAAAAAATATATCGAGTTATTATTTAATAAAATTCTATTTGCTTTTATATATAAACAGTTATTATTAGTTTTATTATTATTAAATTTCTAAAAAAAAAAAACATATCGGTTTATATTTTAGTATGAAGCATTCGTTCCAATTTTTGATAAATGTTCTCGTCGTTACTTGACGGTTAATGATCCGGTAAGTTGAATTTAATGGTAAAATTCCTAACAAAAAAGGCAAATTTTTAAATCATTAAACTATAAACTAATTTAATTTATTAAATATTAAATAGTTTAAGAGTTTTACAAGACACGATGTGGGGGGATGCATAAGAGAAGCTAGAGAAAGTCTTGGCCCTGATGTTAATGGAAGAAGTGGTTTGTATATACTACTATAAATAGTAATTTTTATAAATACATAATCTTATTAAAATACATCTTAACTGATTTAAAAATAATATTTTTTTTTTTTTATTAAATTAGGGCTGATGGTGCTGATACAGCTTCTGCTAGAGATGTTTGTATCGAATGCAATTTAAATCTCTACATAAGAAAACACTATTAGATAAAAATATAGTTAGAGATATTTTTATTTTTGATAATATATACTAATTGTAAATATTAAAATATTTATTTTTAGTCGATCACAAATAGAAAAATTAGATTAGAAAATATTTGTAAGTCTATAGAATGCAATTGAAAATTTCTTAGTATTATGCTAAATTTACGCTATTTACTGAAATTATTTAAGCAATAAAATGGCTAATTCGTGTTACTTATTATTAATATTATATGAATTTGCATAATTTTAACATTGTTGAATGTATTAACGTATTGAAAATTAAGCATTATACCGGAATTTACATTTAATCTAATCAATCAGTAAAGTAATTTCCTAAATCAATTATTTCTTTCTTATCCTTCTTAGCAATTATTAAAGAACAAAATTAAATAAATAATTCTGACTATAGCTTATATTCACACTTTACTTATTAATAATTATGAAAGTGTCTTCTGTCATTATAATGATAAAATTAAATAGAAACATTAATCGTAAAGATATTCTAATTAGATTTATAATATTATTGAATAATTGGCTTTTAATACAAAAGCTTAAAGAAAGTGAAATGTTTTATATCTTTTTTTATATTTAAAAACAGATAAATTACCTGTAAATTAAAAAAATATCTATTTATTTAATGTAATAATTGGGTAAAAAGTTACACCCAATCCTCGATATAATGGTTTTATTCGTATACGGCAATGCTACACTTGAACGATCTACAGAGGGTGGTGCCAGTCTGTAGGTCTTTTATGGGAAATTGGTCCTTATTTAGGTGTTACTAGCATGAAGAAAATTCTGAAAACTCTACGTGGCCAGCCGTTTGGCCAGGCGCGAACTTAGTGTTTACTGATTTTATCCACTCGGTCACTACTCGATATAACGGACTATATGGCCCGTTAATGGCGAATTCTCGTTACATCAAAGGGCTAATATACGTAGTTCTAACGTAAAAGAAAAAAAAGCAAATAAATTTTAATTACAATAGAGTAATATTTTTGTCTAAATCTGAAAAAAAATAATAAATGGAAGAATTTGATTTTGTTGATAGTATAAAGGCAATGCAACAAAGATAATCTGTTAAAAGATCGCATCCCAGGAGAAGTTTTCATGGATACATATCTCTTAATTCGGTGTTAGACACGTGAAGAAAACCGAAAAGTACGCTGACAGCCCGTTGTTCAGCGTACAGTTGATCAGGCTCAAACCTGAGATCAACTACAAATATATTTTTTCAACTGCCTCTACACGGTGGGCACTAAAATAGACTCTTTACTAAGCTTATTATGGATTCAGCTAGGCCCTTAATAGTTAGGCCAGCTGGGGAGGGATGGGGGCACGACATATCCGGAAGGACCACCCACGAAAATTTTCTGGCATTTCCGACCCGTCCAGATTCACTTCGGGTCCTTCAGAATGGTAAACTGCCCCTTATCCTCTCGGAAATCCGCCCAGTGTTCAATGGTGTTTATCCAGTAAACCATTGGTGGATACTAAATGGAACGGAAGCCAGTAACTAGCCCAAAAAACTGGTTGAATGATTCTCTTCTTAAACTATAGTGTGGATATTATTTACAAAAATTTAAAAAAACTGCACTTAAAAAATAATTTTATGAATTATAGCATTTATTTTTAAATTAAATGAAAATTGGCTTCAAAGATTTGTTTATATTTTTTATAATGCTTACAAAGCAGTTTGCCATGTTGATGAATATGTATTATTTTATTTTATTTGGTCCAGTTCGGGATATTCGAAGATCATATATCGAGGATGGGGTGTGTAAATAAAATAAACAGTTTTCGTTAAATTATCATAGTTAAAAATGATATTTATTACGTAAATAAACATTTTCAAAAGTTCTATATTAATAATACAGGATTATAAAATAAAATATTGAATATTAGTAATGGTTTTGAACATGTTTTGAATTGATTATTAAAGATTTTAGAAAACTTCGCTAAACAATTAAATTAATTACAGTATATAATTAAATAACTTAAAATTTTTTATAGTTTTTTAAATAAAAATTTCCAGATTGGTATTTATTTCGGTTATTTTAAGGTATGACACTGATATAAGATAGAAAGAAAGAAATTAACTGGTGTTATATGTGCAAATTTTAACTCGTGTTGTTGTTAAAAGACGAATATTGGGTTAAATTGATTTGATTTCATTGGATAAAGCAACAAAACACGAGGACGGTCTGCTTGCTAAGAGAGGTATCTCTCGGGAGGTCTTTGGGGAAACTGCTCCTTACATGAAGAAAACTGGAAAACTACACAGTCGGTCTATAGGTTTTCGCAAATCCGGGACAACTCTTACATTGATATAGTTTATTTGTTTGTTAAGTTATGGCAATGCAACACTTGGCGATCTGCCTAGGGAGATGCCTTCCGGGAGGTTTTTTTAAGGGTAACTAGTTCTTATTCAGGAGTTACAGACGTTGAGAAAACGGTAAATTTCCATTGGCGTTCGTCAGTCTGACTGTCCATCTTAAGCTTGAGAACGCAGTTATATAGATGAAAGTCGAGAACACATATGTAAAGCATAGAGGTAGGAGGCCCGATTAACTATATACGAACTTCCGGTTTAGACCGAAAATCGAGTTATTTGAATTCGAACATTTTCTCCTGAACGGAGGTAGATAGATGACCGGCATGACTTTACTGTTAAGAGTAAAAGCATGATGTACAAGGACAAGACACTACTCAAATTGAGAGCATTGTGACGATGTCACAATGCTCTCAATTTAGGTACTGCTAGTTCTTTTGTATATTGTAATTAAAGAAGCAATATGCTGAGAACAGAAATGTCAATCAACAATATAATAGGCCTATATAATATATACTGAAATTTTATTTATTAAATAAATTTTTATTGCTTAAAAAACGATTTTAACATTTATTATTTTTGAAATGTATTGTCTTCTTTTAAGTAATTATTACTTCATATCTAGTTTAGAGAATAAAGAATTTAATAAATTAATAATAATTGTTGAAATAGAAGTTTTCTCTGTGTATTTTTACATTACATTCATTACAATTATTTATTTATAAATAATGATTAATTAATTAAGACACTAATCTTCTTAGTTGATGACAACGCCGAACATAGTTCTCCGTTCTCGTTTATTTTCCATTTTCGTTAATCATCCAATAAGCATTGTTTCTGTGTAACATCTCTTGTTGAATATACTCTAAAATTAAATAATTTTATTCATTTTAATACAAATTATTATTAATATTTTAAAATTTTAAATATTCTTTATTTTTCCATACTTTGGAAACTGAATATGAACGAAAATTTTTCATGCATCTTTGTTTTTCTACTGGAAAACCTACGATCTGTAAAGATTAAAGAGACTGATTATAAAATTTTCTCAAATAAAATAAATATTTTCGAAAAATTATTAATTTTTTACAAAAAACAGATGCAATAATTTGCCATTTTCTCGTCCAAAATGTAGATTTAAGTTTAAACTTTTATTATATATATTTTTTTTTATTAAAATATTTAACAATAAACACTTTTTATACTTTTCACGTACTTTGAACAATATTCTTGAAAACAAAAAATAAAAATTTAGCATTTATAAAATTTAAAATTAATTAAAATTCACTAAAAATTTATTTTTAGAAGACATTTTATAATAATTTTTTTTTCTTGTGCAATTACTTTTATTTAATTAGATTAATTAATAATATATATATATTTGCAAATAATTCTAAATTAAAATTAAATTTAAAATGTGTTCATTTGTTAAATTATAGTGAAGAAATAAATACATATTATCAAAAAACAAAAAATAATAATAATAACAGCAATAATTCGAATTTCATATACTAATTATTTATAAATCTTTATTAAATTTTAATTCAATTAAAATCGAAATTATATCTAGAAAGTGTGAAATTCCTTTATGTATTTCTGTTAAACAATAACAAATAATAGATATTTGGGCTGCACTTTAAAAAAATTGTAGACCTATAAATTCCCACTGTTGTGTGTCTGTCTGTTCTTCCTTAATCTCGAGAACAGTGTTAGATAGATAAAAGTTGAAATCAGATATGGAAGACTTAAGATGAATATATACAAATTTCTGGTTTGGACCGGAAATAACGTTTATTTCAATCAAAATTTTGTCTGAAATGGAGTTAGATGGATGATCGCATGACTCCATTGTTAAGAGGGAAGTATGATGTACAAGAGCATTACCTTAGTAAACTGAGATCATTATAACAAAAACGTGCAGCCTGGCATAATGATAATGTCATAATAATTTATAAAGCATTTCTTCCATTAAATTCTGTAAATTTTATATGTAATTTCTCTAAATAGAAAATTTAGTGTAATATTTTTATACAAATAATCTATAACAATAAATCAACTTACCGTGGTATTAACATGATTACATACATAACCAAGAAGAAAATCAAATTGACTAAAATAGCCTAAACATTCAGCAATTTCAAGTATCTATATAAAGAGATACATTAATGTTTTATTAATATGATATAAGTAAAAACATGATTATAAATAAGGAAAATTAATTAAATATTAATTGACTCTTAATAATTTATATTTCAAGTTAAAATGACATACTTTTACCCAATCGTTTACGTCCATCACCTGACAAAGGCAGTTCATGTAAACTGATTTTTTAGGAAAAACAAGTTCTGAAAATTAATTTAAAAACATATTATCCTGTATAAAAAAATAATAACTTAATTATTAATAAAAATAGATATGTTTAATAATTGTGTTTCTCCACGAAGTCGTTCATTTGTTCAATAAAGGAAATTCCGTTATTACTCGTACTATAAATAAGTTTTTGCCTGTTTATTTTAATAAATATTCTTCGCTATTGTTTAATAATTTTTTTGAGTCAGTGGCTCTTTTTGCCCCAATAAAAATACCCCAAAGAAAAATATATGAATTCAACTCTGTACATGGAGCTCTCTAAATCTGCCTGGTCTTCACGAAACTATAACGCGCCACTGTCCTTAGTAAGTCTTTATTCTCGTACAATATAATCCAATTAATATCCAATTTAACACAATACGATCTGATTTAGTTTAGTTAAACCAGTTGCTTATCTTAAACAGTCACATTTAACTTTTCTGTTAGAATTTATTTTACTATTTTAACATATTTATACTTTATATTATTGTTAAATTTGTTGTATTATAGACGTATTTCAGTTTTAGTAATGTATATGGTTAAAACCCTATTGCCATCTAGCGGGTAAATTTATAAGTTCTTAACGAAAATTTAAACTACAGGTTTCCTGTGTTATAAGTTATAACACACCATATTTTATGTTGTAGTTGGCAATAAATGAAATCCTTTTCTATAATCAAATACTGAACTTTTTCTATAAAGAAGTATTCCGCCTTAAATAAATAATATATATGCAAAACTTTGTTGAATGTACTGTATTTATCATGGTTTATGATTTCAAAAACATATTGACAATTTATTATAAATAAGAATTGCTTACGACAAATCTCGTGCTGCATTTTCTCAAAAGTTAAATCTTCACATTCCAGGAGAAAAATAAATGTCGCCATTATTAACAACGATAAGATCGCCTTCATAATTATTTCTGGGTTATAAATGAAAACATAAAATAATAATTTATATAATTAATTGGGTTTTCAAATAATAAATTTCTGCAAAATAAAATAAAATTAAATTAATATTATATTACTCTTAAATTATAAACATTTTCATACGTTTTCTTTTAAATTTATAATAATAAACCATTTTGATATTGTTCCGAAGAGAGAAGTAAAAAATTTTAATCATTTTTTTTATACTTTAAGAATTTCTAAATTATCTAATCATCTAATTTATTAAGATATTTCTTAATTATCTTTAAAAATAATAAATAATTTAAAAAATAAAAAAAATTCTACTAAAGAGCGCGATGTTGGAAGAGACGAAAATGGAGCATTTTGGACAGTTTGCGCGTATGTAAAGTGGAATAATTGCATGATTTGTGCAGAATAAGGCACAGAGGAAAGAACATAGTCGATTTCCCGAGATCTGACGTAAGTTTTTAATTAGTTTTATTTCCAATTTGTTAGCTCGGTCAGACTTCGACCTAATAATGGCGTGTCTGACGCCTAGTCGTCGTTATTCGAACGGTCGAATGTTAGAGATATATTAGGAGATTGTCGAATATATACGCGTGCGTGTTTTTTTAGATTTTGTTCGATTCGACGACGACTCTCTTCTTCCAGCGTGCAACAATGCAGTTCGATCTGTCTTTAGCCAAGTCTCTATTGCGTTTATTCGGAAATATGTTTTTTATGTAGCGTTTTCTTCTTTATCCCGGTCTCTAGCTATATATTCTTGACATATTCAATACCGAAGCATAAGACTTTTTGTTGTTTGGGGAGCTGGATGTACTGTACTTGAAGTTCGAGCAACTAGGCCTAGCATTTCCCCTTGATTTTGGGCTTTTAACTTCTGATAATTTTGGTTTAATTGGTCGAAGTTATTCTCTAACTCCTTGTGGTTCTGCTTTAGTGCTTTATAATTGTCGAATAAGCACAGGAACATCTCCTGTGTGCTTTCCTCCAATGTTTATTTCGTTTAAGATTTCTTCTTCTTCTTCTTCTTGGTGCCATATCAGATTCCTGACGTTGGCGACACCTGGCATAGGTTTGTAATCCGCCAAGGTGTATACTAGGGAAAGTTACTACCCAGAGTGGTTTCCCGTTGCCTTCTCTGGGGCGCGATGTTACGCGAGGGGAACTAATGCCTTCCGGGAGGACTAAGATTTCTACTAACTTCTAATGCACTGATGGCTGCCTCCATACAGCTATCAAACAGCTCTGGAGTTGTGTAACTTTATTTAAAATTACGTTTTATATTTTTAATTACAATATAATAAATAAAATTGTGTGTAGCTCCATCTGTTATGACATTTTGTTGTAAAAAATTTTGTATATTTTTAATTATTATAAAATAGTAAAACATTTAATTTTTAGGGTATAAATGAGTTTTATTTTAAAAAAAACTGTAAATGTTAACAAGTAAAATCCTCATTATGTCCGACCACACTCGAGATGTAACAAATGGTTTCCTCTCTATCTCCCCACCCTCTCGACCTTTAACCACCGAAATTTAACAGAATCAATTATCTTAATGCACAAACCTCCCTGTAAAATTTCAGAAATTTTCTACAAAAGGCATAGAAGTTATTAATTAAGCTTCGAAGTGTGTGAACAAAATCGTGCCTTCACATTAACATTCGTAAATACAGAAAAACTCCCGGCCAGTAGTGGCCCAGTGGATAAAACAACTGAACACTGGTTTGCACTGGTCATGGATTTGCACTTGGTCATGGCCAACGGGCTGGCCACGTGAAGTTTCCCGGATTTTCTTCACTTCAATAACGTCTAAATAGAGGCAAGTTTTTCATAAAAGATCTCCCGGGAGGTATTTCCCTTCGGCGGATCGCCCATGTATCGCGTTACCTTAATCGAATAAAACCAAACCAGAAAAACATCCTCTCTTTTTTCATTTTTCGACATATCAAAAACCCCGAATCTAAAAATGTTAAAATCTTGGAGGTAATTTTGGGACCAAGAGCCATACTTTCTTTCTGTTATATATAATATCCGGGAAGGTAAAATTAAATAAAAAGTAATACACAAAAACATATATAATCTACCGCGTATATTGTAAAAGTTAATAAACTATGTTAGGAAAAATAATCTGTTTTTTTTAAACACCAGACTCTAAACATTTCTATGCACAGTCCTGCATAAAGAGATGCATATTTCTAAAACAATTTAAACTATTAAGAATTGTTTGTTAAAACCAAAAATATTACTTACTCTCAAGGTAGTAAATTGCACTGAAATCTGCGGATCCATGATATATACCCTGATTTATATCAATATATATCGTGGATCCACTTTAAGAATGATTTTGTAATTATTTTTAACTGTCAGATTTAAAAATAAGGAATAAACATAATAAAAAATATTTTTTTAAATAAATTTAAAAACAATGTTATGTAATTTTATCTATTATTGTATTTTTATGTTTAATTGCAGTAATAAATCTCAATAATTTAAAATTAATTTAATTAAAATTATGAAAATAATTAATAATAAAGTAAATCAGCAAAGTTTACATAATTAATTAACAGACCTGTAAATACTTAATATCTATGTGTATTATAGTATAATAACAGTTCAAAAAATACATTTTAAAATTAAATATTCAGTTTAATTTTTAAATTTTATACTTTTAAAACAGAATAAAATAAACTAATTAATTAATTTTTATTTACAATGTTAAATTATTAAAAAACCAATAATAAGGTCTTGCAAATACAATCAAATCTCGGTGTAATAATTGTCAATATAACGATAAATCCCTATACAGCGATAGATCTGTTTATCAAATACATTTTTTTTATTGTTTACTTAAAAAACACACATTATTTTTCCCTACAACAATAGTAATACAGTAAATAAATTTTAATTAATACCACGCTCGTTTTTGGCAACAAAACGTGCACTACCACGAACGTTACGATAGTCTGTAGGTATCAGTACAAACGATAGCAAAATCATTTATTGTATTAATACAACAAGCTGATGACGGACTTATGGTCCGAAATGCATTCTTAATTAATAAAGTGATTTTCTAAGGATAATCTGATGTCCTGTGGTGGTGTGTCTAGCAATAAAGAAAGGCCAATTTAGTGCTCACAAGTAAATAGAAATTAAACTATGTAACTGAGATATCAAATTCTATAATTAATTTTTTATAAGGTTTCAGACAGAGATTCTTTATTTGCTACAGAATATTAAATAAAATATAAGAAAACACAGAGTAAGGATTTGTTTTTGTTTGGAATTCCTAGGTAATTTCGAATACAAAGTACTGGCATCTTACACTAGTAACTTTTATATTAATCAATTGTTTAGTGGCTTAAGTAAAATTGCTTGTTGTCAATTCAATTCAATCCATTCTGATTACGAAGTACACAAAATTCCGGATGCAAAACTACAACGATTTTCCAAATCGAAGGAAACATCCGAGAGGACTTTCTATGAGGAAAATTGTTTAGATGTTAGAACCGTGAGAAATTCCCGAAAAACTCCAAATGGCCAGCCTGTTAGCGAGGATCGAACCTAAATCAACTACCGTATTCAGTAGTCTTACTCATTCCGTCACTTCTAAGATCTGGCTTTCTCGTTTTTAGGTTCTTAATCCATGTGATTATTAGATACGGGAAAACTTTAATAATGTAGTTTAACGAGGATATATTGCAAATTTGGCAGCTTTGAAAGACGATAACATACTTATGAAAAGCATCACAGAGGATCAATAACTATATCAATATACTGCTCATTGTCTCAGATGTTAGGCCTACATCTTCAGAATGGAGGCCACATTATGCAGTTTCTCGTGCATCGCCGACGTCTCTATATAGCAAGTTTCATGTAGCAATAAATCGTTTCTTGCTTGCATCGCCAAAAGTGTGAAGGTCATCACACTTCACACTTTTGACATTAATTAATTGTTTTTATAGAAATATTTTGTCTTCGGCATGTTCTGAAATGTAACCATACCAGATTTAGTTACACTTTGACCGCTAAATATCGTTCTAGGAAATATTCAGTAGCAGTTTAGCATATTTAGCAGAAGCAGTAGCAAAACAGCGTTGAATCGTGGTATGCTGAAATCACTATTCTAGATTTCATCATATAAAACAATTTCGCTAAAATTGTTAACTTTGCGCAAAATAATAACTTGTATTATTTCTTCGTAAGTGATTATTAGTCCCATTATTCAAAATTTCTATGAACTTTCAGCCAGTTGCCATGTGGATCCAAAATTCTACCTTTATCAGGATTTTCTTTTTTAAAGTAATACAGTACATGTCAGAATATAATTCTGCATCTACCATTTAGGTTGGTCGAATTTTTTCAGGGTCGGATTCATTTGTAATAATAGTTGTAAATGAGTACAATGAAATATCCAATAGTGTTTTTACCTCTCGTTAAATAGTATTTCTAAATTTCCAATTCAGGTTGCTCATAATACTTGTTTCTTATTTAGGTCATAGCAATTTAAGATTTGTTCAAACGACTTGTCGATATTTGTCAAAACACTTAAATTGTGCAATTTTGCCAGGTATAACTTTGTGTAGATACGGATAATTTGACAATTTCTCCAGTCTGTATGAACGAATACAAAACATGTATTCTCTCTATTATGAATTTAGTAAATATTTTAATTTGCGGTTTTAATAAATCGTTTCTAATACAGTATATATAATTCGGTAAAAATAAAATTTATTTTCAGTTATAATTTGCAATAATTTTGTGCTAATTTCTTATTTGTTCCTTATTTTTATGAGTTCGTTATTTTACTAGATTAGTGAACGTTATAATTATGCTTATAAAGTATATTATGAATTAACTTGTATGTAAGCATTACCCATAAAAATTAAATACTTTTGCAATATGCAAAACTTCATATAAATCATTTGAATATAAGTTTTTGAATACAAGTAATTGTTCTTACACAATTGAAATGATTTATAACATATTAAATAAATACAGAAATTTTATAGTGTTTATTATTTGTTATAAAAAATAAGAAAACTAAATACTGTATTGTGAAATCTCATTTATGTGGCCATTCTTTCAGGGTATACAATTTCTGGCCATGTAATTCAGGTTATGAAAAGTTGACGTACAGAACTGTATCTATAGTACCGCACTAAACTCTGCTAAAAGTTTATAAAGTTTATCCTGCTAATACTGTTATAGAAACCAATAAAGTAATAATAATTCTGTAATAATTTCACATTATATCATAATACTTTACAATATGCAATAATTCAATTTTTGTGCAGAGTTATGCATTAACACGATTTAACTTTTTGAAATAGATTCATTCAGGCACGATGCTAAACAGAATTGGTTAGAATCTATGGACAGAATCAATGTGTTTATGAAATGATATTAAATGTTTTGTTTAAATACTGTATGTGAGGACCTCTTGAGATTTAATCAAGGACCTGATATCGTCTGGAGTAACGCACTCGACACTCTTTTTATGAAAGAGATGTCGTGCAGGATGACGAGAGGGTGTGAATGGCGTATGTGGGTGGAGTGGCACTGAAGTAAGGACTCTTATACAATTAAACAAGTTTTATTTGGATACAGTATTCAGAAGTTTCTAATACAGGTTAGTTGTGGGAAAAGTTCAAATGACGTCTTAGTAGTACGAGGACCCAGAACTCTTCATTTCTGTTTGCTGCAGCGATGTCCAAAACTGATGGAGGTTCGACGTGTTTTGGAGGTCCAGTTAAAGGGTTTATCAAGAGACCTCTTTTATTTCTTTAACGTTTACTATAGCTTTATCTGATTTGTTCGTAGTAAATATCGGTTCTACATGACTTCTAAAAAGTTCCCTGAAAGCAAAAATAATTATTAATTAAAAGATCTATTAATCGAAGTTATCCTTTTAAAACAAATTAAGTTCAATTAAGGTCTCTAAGGTCCTGTAGTGGCTAATCGATAGATACATATCATTAACGTAATGGGATGCCATTCTAAAATTATTTTTTATTTTATCTGTTTTATCTTATTTGTTATACTATAAATAGATTTTTCAAAATTATGTTTTGATGGTAAAATTTTCTAAAAACTATACAAAACATAATATAGTATTTTAAACATAAGTCATCAGTGGGTATTTAATTGGATTTTTATAAGTTATAATTTTAATTGTAAATTTATATACTGTAATCTCTAGATCTTTAGATAATTTTTGACTCCTTCTCTGTTATTTCTTTATTTTTAACTAAATTTTTAATTATTAATCACTTAATGTTGCTTGAAATAGCTTGATTATAAACTACAAATAAATAACAAATTAGTGTTTACTTTAATAATATTCCTACAAATTAACAAATTCGCAAATTATGCTGACGATGAAAAATCAAGATATTAAGAATATTTTTCTTGTAGAAAAAAATAATTGTATAAATATTAAATTATTTGTTTGTTACTTTGTTTTATTTTGTGTTAAGGTTGAGGAAATTTTGCGAATAAAAAGTATAATTAACCCATAAACTGTCAGAATACATTTGTATTTATTAATTTTAAACCTGCTTATTGGCTTTTTAAATGTTTACTTGTTATGGCTGTTACAGATTGTCAATAATCAATATGTAGCTTATTTGTGACAAGAATGAAAATTGTTTACTTGTCAGAATCTGTAATATCTGGAATAATTATGCCGATGCTGTCTTAATTTTTAACCATGCCCAATAGCTTCAATAACTGCATTATGCCAGGTTGTGCAAATTGGTACCTGGCATGGATACAAACGAGTACGAAGTATGCAAGTATAAAGTTTTTCTTTATAAACCTGATTATTAAAGCCAAACGAACTACCGAATTATCGGGCTATAAGCTCGATGCCGCTATCAAAGCATCCGAGGTAGACAAATCAAGAATACTAGACAGCAAAAAAAGTACTACAACGCATCTCGAAAACGAACTTCCATGCTACAGGCGAGAAAACACATGACATCTGTCTTCTCTTAAATGCATTAAAGACGAATCCACCCGCATCGATTGAATCGGAAAGAGCATTTTCGGTAGTAGGACTTTTTTTCATTACTAAAATAAAACCAGATTGAGTGATCGAAGTATTGACCATCTTTGCTTTTAAAATCTTATTAAGGTAGGGGCCCAAAATATCGCCTACGTTCCTAATATCGCCTACCATGGTTACTTCATCAGAGCTGGCAGTTGATGGACTACGAAGCTTTCTCCTTCAGTAATCGTTTGTGGAATCCGTACGCATCTGTGTTGTTTTTTTTTTTCTTTTCTCTGGGAATTTTTGCTGATTTTCGTGTACAGTGAGTTAATAAACGTTTATGTTTCATTAATTTTAGTATAATCAATAAGACTCAAGTGATAATGTCATATCATTTGAAGCAGTGATAGTGACTATAATAGGCTTAATATACCTGTAGTACAGGTATATTAAGTAAAATAAAAAATGTTTTTCTGTAAAACTTTGTAATATTTTCTATAGTGCCAGTATAATAAGTCCTGGTAATAGAAGATACGTTATTATAGACGAAAATTTATATTTTAGTAAGAAAAAGGACATTGAGGCATTTTAATTAAATAATAGGCTACATTTTGGTGTAATTTGTTTCTTGGTTTGCTATCCAATTTCGAAGGTGGAGTTCACCATGATTGAGAGTTGGGTTGTTCCCAATATGCCCAATTGAGTGTTCTCATTATCATACAGGCGATATTACGAACACTTTCTATATAGTTTTGTTTTTCCAGATGTCACATAGAAAGACTTGAGACAAGATTAAGATGAAAGAAGCAGTAATAGCCGTAAAATATAAAGAGATAGGACTATTGAAAGCACCCAAAGCTTTTGAAGTACCTAGATCCAGTGTGTAACACATGAGTATGAAAGTTATTACCCTGAAAGGAAAACATGAAGTCCATGAACTCTCTTCAGCAGAATGTGGACTCCTTGTAACTCTCGTGACCTGTATGTCAGCTTCTAGTAACTTTCTACCACCAATGATTGTGTTCCTCAGTAAAAGGATGAAGAACGAATCTTGGATGGAGCTCTTCCTGGAAGTATTTCATGATGCTATCCCTCTGGGTGGATTCAATCAGATCTCCTTACCAAGCAGATGAATCATTTTATTTCATATTTAAAACCCACAAAGGAGAATTCTCTAGTCCTTATCCTCTATGGTCACACCACACACATACACACACGTCTTGTATTGTTAAACTTTATTTCAACCCATTTTGATGTAGGCGATATTAGGAACACTTTTATTAATAGGGAAAATGCCACGGTTGCAAAAAAAACTTTTAGGTGTGTTAGAGTTGTAATTCGGTTTACTTTTAATAAAACAAGCTAGTTAATAGATTAGAAGTATTTTTAGACAAATGGCACATGGCTTAGTCCTCTGTTCGAAATAATTTCTTAAGTAGGCGAAGTACAGGCCCCCTACCTTATAAAAAATTACAATAATATTTTGTATTATGTTTTATTTAAAAAACGGAAATTACCTTCTAAGTTAGAAGTTTGATCTAAGTTCATTTTTTCTTTAAATTTTCAACTCAATTCAAAGGCATTNAATATATAGTTTAGAAGTTAATCTAGTATCAAAAACGTTCGATTCAGCGCAACACACAGTCCTCAGAAAAACACCACACAAAAGTGCCAGTGCTGCCAGCTAAAACACACATCAACAACAAAAAATATTGGAGTAACCCAAGATATAGCCAAAGATTGCAGCGCCACAGCACTAGCGAAAATTTAAATTTGCCAACTGGAATTCTTTCGGATAACCGACGTTTCGGATAACCGGCTTTCGGATAAACGACGCTCTACTGTATATCATTTAGAACTTTCACTTTAATCATGTTAAAATTCAGTTTTAGGCAAAAGCAAAATGATAATGCTAGTAAAATGAATATAAAAGAAATTATTCTTTCTTTCGTGCCGATATACAAACTGCTAAACACATTTCGATTAGAATATAAAGAAACTCAACTTTACGGAACAGAAAACATTCAAAATATAAATCGCATTGTGAGATTATTTCTGTGTCTTTTACGTATTGCAATTTATGTTTTGATTAATTCTCTGGTAGATATATTTGTTTAGATTAAAGCCTATTTCACAGGAAAAGAGTCCTCTCAGAGTATTTTAAAATGAAAGCGTACAATTGAAAATTATCGACTTTTTCTGTTACTTGTTAGCATAGAAATGAATAAATTTTACCTGAATAAATTTATCGAACCATCTGTTACCGGTGGAATGTTTACTTGTATTTCCGTGAAGAATGTGGTGGGCACAATCTTCCATTAGCCGGTCCGAAAAGTTCTTCGATCTCGTATGTTCCCTCAGATCTTTGATCGTTTCGTCCATGCATACAACAAACATACAATTTTCAATAATCCGAATGGACTCTTTATTATCATCATCTACGTATTCGTAAATTTCAGCTAACGATCGAAGATTTTTAATATCTAAGAAATTTTTAGATTTGATCTCTCACCTTCGATCATTTGTTCTCTTATCCTTGCCCATTCTTTTCGATTGAGAGCTGTGAGAATTCCCACTGGCAGGTAGTGTGGCTTGAGCTTACTTAACCATTCGATTTTCTTCAGATCTTCCATGAGAGCTATTTCGCTTGTATTGCTGTTTGTAAAAGGTGACGCCTCCACTCGAAATAACTGTTGAATATTTAAAACAACAATTGTGAAGACATCAGCATTTATCAAGACAAAGTAAACTGTATAAAATTATTGTACGTAAATAATTGACTGAAGGAATTAAATGGGGTCTTTGAGAAACGAGAGGTAAGACTAAACAACGTACTGTACGTTCTGAGAATATAAGTGAAAATACATCTACGAGTGGAAGAGAAAAATAGCAAGGGTATTCCTCTAACGACTTAAAAGACAATTGCCTATTTTGACATCGCCATAACTTCAGCGAGATTGTTTTCCTTCTGATATATATGTAGAATACTTATTCACCATTTTGTGAGATTGTGTTAATTTCTAATATTTCAAAGATATAACGCTGTTATTTACTTTAATACTGACATAAAAACATAATGAAAGAAATCGCAGGAAGTTAAGGGTGTAGTTGTAAAAAGATCCCCAACTATGTATCGAATTTTAAAGAAACGATGAGGAGTGATTAGAAAAAATAAAATGGCAGATGTGCAAAGCACCATATGAAAACATGCAGTGGGAAATAGACAAGAATTACATCGGTGTCTCCGCACGGAACTTGAGAGTTAATCTTAGGAAACATCAATTTAAGGTAAGAAAGGGATCCAATAGCACGGTAGTAGCCAAGTCTTGGTAGTAGCCAAGATGACGCAGACCGTGGTCTGTGTGATAAAATGAGAAAAGGTCATTAAGTCTATGCAGTCCGACATTAGCAACAACGCTAAAAAGCTTGAAATAGGTCAAAGCAGATTAAGAGGTAAATGCATTAATGCAATGAATGCGAATATCCCTTAGCAACAGCAAAGTTTGGTAGAAGCTCCTAATTACCTCATTTTTTATTAATTACTTTTAGTTAATTTTGCTTTATATTCGACATTTAAACGTTGTTGTTGTTTCTTTTCTGTTAATCTTTTTATATACGAGTATTTTGTATTGTATTTTGGAACAATATTTAACAAAGAAGATGTTCCAAGGAAATGTAGCATGGGGATAGCCTATTTAATAGGTTGAAAACGTTTGCCAAATGAAACGAATCTCAGCAGCAATAAAATGTTTAGTGATATGTTTTGAATTGTTCTGCCGAGGGTGATTTAGATTATTAATTACCAGTACATTTACAAAATAAAACATCCTACTAACCCGATGCAATGCAATAACACACCAACCACTGCCGTAAATGATCGGGCCGTAATTTATAATTATTTATTCCAAATTACAGCACGATGATTTACGGCAGTGGGTTGGCGTATCAATCAATCGTACTTTTTCCATTATTTTTATATAAGATTTCTTGTAAGTAGAGAATTGGGAATTCGAACCAGTGATGTGTATCCAATAGAATTAAAAAGCTAAACCCATTAGAAATTTAAAAATTGATCCTATGGTTCGCAATAAATCGCTCAAAAACCACCCTTGGTAACATATTACTACTTTTTTCTCCTGCTGATTAATATCGTCAATTTTTGTATAAAATATTAAATGTAATAGAGCAAAGTTTCCCAATTGAGTCGATATGGACGAAGGAAAAATCAGATACTTATTGTATTTTATCGAGAATTTCAAATAAGAATAATAAATTTCACATGGAAAATTCATTAACTGATTAAACAACGTATTTGGTATATTACGAAAAATCATGGAAAATAGCAAAAATTTTTAAAGGATCTACTGAAATGCATATTTTCTATATGGACTAATGCAAGAAAACGACTGTTAAGCCCTGTGATAGTGCATAGCAGTACACATAGCAGAGGTTTTTAATAAGCCTATAGGAAAAAATTCAATGTAATATATTTCATCACAGAAGGGTAACTTAAAAATCGGAAATTTATAAAGACGATAAATAGCATTGTTTTCTTTCTCATTACCTGATTCTCGCATGCCACAATAAAATATCGGCCGCCTTCACTAAAAACGTGCTCGTCTTTAATCGCGCCTGGTCTCCTGTAAACCGTGAAGAAATGATCATACGTGGCCATGGAAAGTGCATTCTCTTCTTTTTGTATTTTAGCAAATTTTTCTTTTAACTCACCGCTACGATAATCAAATGAATCATTTTAGTCATAGTTTCTCTCGTGTAAATAATTGTTTTTTTTCCTATTAAATTTGTTTACCTATCAACTCTTTCTTTGAACATTAGCAAAAAGATGATAAAATCTGCTATGAATCTAAGAAATAATCCACAGTCATCAATAAGACAATTAATTAGAAATGACTATTTTACGAGAAACCATTACCCACGTCTTCCGTCAGCCGTTAAAAATAAACACTTCTCCAGCAGGAAGAACAAACTGGAATTGACGGGAAGAGGCAAAGGATTTTTCAAATTTTCTTTCAGCCAGATTTCGGTCACCTGCAAGGGCGTTTATTGTTATTTCTAGTGAAAGGGCATACCGAGAAAGAATAAAAACTCACGTAATTTTCATGGGTTTCTGCATATTTCTCCAACAACCCCTGCAGCTTTTGCATTTCCTCCGACGTTTTATAATCTTCGACCAATCTTCGAGCTTCCTCGTATTTGTCAATGGGAACAATTGCTCTGATTCCTTCCAGGAATCTATCTAGAGTGACGGAGAGCTCGGGAACCGGCGGCTTCGGCAATTCCTACAAGGGAAAATGATTTGTCAAATGTAAATGAACCATGCTTGTTGAATTACGTTACAGAATATAAAATCTTTTGCCATAATTGATGATTTAGACTCACACTTTCTTTCATTGCAGACATTTTCTCTTTTTTTCTGTACAAGGAGCTCGAATTGCAACAATTTTCCGAAGTGTTTTGTTAAAGTTAAAACAATGCGAATAGTTTGTTGCACAATAATGCGTTGATGATATTAATACACAATTGAGAAAATAAAAGTATAACCTTATTCCAACATCTATTTTGTGCATTCAACTATTGTAATTGACGTCAATAAAATTACTTTAAAATTTTTGTTTGTTTGTATACGACACGTGGATGATCTGGAGAGGAAATGCTTCCCGGGAGGACTTTCTATGGGAAATTGGTCCCTATTTAGGTGTTATAAACGTCTAGAAAAACCAGAAACTTTACATGACCAGCCCTTTGTTCAGGTGCTTACCCGCGACCAACTACCACTGCTCGTTAGTTTTATTCACCCTGCCACTAGTTGGCTTAAAATTTCTTATTTCCTTTGTAGTGTTATTGGGCCGCAATTTGAAAAAGTTGTAGACCTGTAAAGTTTCACTGACGTCGGTCTATCTGCTTTTCCTTAATTAATCTCGAGAACAGTTAGATAGATGAAAGACGAGATCAGACATGCAGATATTAGTGACAGGATGTCGGGATTATTATATAGGAACGTTCGATGCTAACCAGAAGTCATGTTATTTCAATTGAAAATTTTCCCTGAAAAGAGTTAGATAGAGGCTGGCACTCTATTGCTAACGTACAGGAGCAAGACACTACTAATTCCAGATAGAGAGTAATTCACCATTAATTTTTAATTTAGACATTTCTAAAATTTAAGTTGGAATTGGTCATTAGATTTAATACGAGATGGCAATGTAACTGCCTACCTCTAGTCAAATTAATCAGTTTAATTATAGCCTTTACGAAGCCCAAGAATTTGTCATATCGTTTGGAGTGTTTATTATATAAGAGGCTATGGTTATTGACGTTTATAAGTAATATGTCTGAAAACAAGTTTGGAAAAATGTGTGATCATAAGCAACACTAAGATGCTGGCGAAATGAGTGCTAAATACAGACTGATGGAGCAAGTGCACAATCCCGAACTTTTTCTCTCCTTTTCATTCGCTATGCGAGATGCTCGTTAAGCGAGGTTTCACTGTATCATGAATATCAAAACGAACTAATTAACTTTTACATTAATTAACTTTGTATGCATGGATTTGAATCAGTTAAAATTTGTTTATCTTCTATTTAACGTTGTCTTTGACCTCAGCAAATTTCGTAATTCTATACCGTTGAGAAGTTTTTGTTTTGGACTGTTTTTCTGGTTCCCTCCTATATAAATAATAGAAATGACCCAAAATTTCGCGATATGTTTGAGTATATGCGTTAGCTAGTACTCAGTCTACTAGATACCCGACTTTTTCTATGGCGTTTATGTAAAGTTCCTGCGAAAGTCGACCAACAGCTGTTCTCAGGGCCAAACATTCGTAAACACTAGACTGCACCTGTCTGGTAGCGGTTGGTGTTAGATGAAAAAATATACAAATTCAGTAACCCTGAAAGTATCTTTTATAACTAAAAACATTGATTTTAGCTTGTAAAAATTCTATAAAAAGTCTATAAGTATTTAATATTTCACATCTAACAACTGAGGTTTTTCATTTCTGAACGGTACTTTATTAAAATTGCCCTACTGTAGCCGAGTGCATAAAACCACCAAACTCGGATAGTTAGTCGTGGGGTCGGGCATGGCCAATGGACAGGCCACGTGGAGTTTTCCGGGTTTTCTTCACGTTAGTAACACCTAAATAGTGTTCAGCTTCTCAGAAAAGTCATTCCGGGATGCATTCCCCTTCGGCAGTTCGCTCACGTTTCACGTTGCCATAACCAAATAAACTAAACTAATTTTAACCAGCGTTTATTTATTGCGATATGGTCAAAATGCCAGGCTGCAACTTTTCGTCACAATGTTCTCAATTCTTTTAGTGGTGTTTTCCCCTGCAAATCATACTTTTCCTTTAACAGTAGAGTTGTGCCGGATTTATCTCAGTGGTGCGCAACTGTGGGTTGCGATCCCTCTGGGGGTTGCGAGAAAATTTTTTAAGGTCGCCAAATTCAAAGATATCTATTTGACAATAGAAATTGTAAGGCTTTTCTTCAACAAGTACAGGTAGCAGTAAAACAGTGAAATTATTTATAAAAATATAGTAAACTATCTGCAATTGCTTGCTTCGCTGGGTTGTTCGTACATTCATATGTAATATAGTAATATAGTTTTATATATATATATAAAAGATTGTTTCTCTTCCTCTACGTAATCTTTCTCCGATTCGATTTGTTTCCCTATAATTTTCAAGTTGCTCTTCTGTCTGATTATTTCTGTTTCGACATGATTTGAGACCGCAAAAATTCTTTCTTACGCTTTGGCATTGTTTTTTATATTTTTACTTTTCACACTTCACTATTCACTTTTCACTTTCTACTTTTTTCTGTTATTCGTACACTTTTACTTATGAAAAATCAACTGAAGGATGTGCATCACACGTCTCCAAAAGCCATCCCCAATACTCATACATAACGGTCTCGACTATTCCAAAACGTTTAAGATTGAGACTAAGATTACATTATAGCCAATCTTACCCGTTTTCACAGAATGCAAGAATTAGGTCCCCCGTTTCCAGACTAATTAGAGAATTTTTACGAGTCCAAAAATATGTTCGATTTTCCGCAAAAACGCAAAACACCTCATCTGCGTTTGTAAATCTTGCATACCGCTTTATCTTAACACTTCCTTTGTTACTTAACACTTCCATTGTTAACATTTCCATTGTTAACACTTTCATTGTTGACACATCCATTGTTACACATTTTCGAAGTCAACCACTTTCAACCCCCATATCTCCCACACCCTTATAGTCGACCCCCTATAACGCGGTAGATACGTTCCACTTTATAAGAATTTCGCGTTATAGGAATCCTTAAATATATGAGCCAATTACTGCCCGGCACGTGTGCAGTTTACGGACTATGGCTGTTTGAAAGGTTTTCTTCCATAAAATTAATCGATTCTAGACTAATTCGACTCAACATTTCCAAAACACGTATAATTTTTTGGGAATAATCCGTATAAACTACGCTATAAACAAAAAATTGTAGGATTACTTACCGAGTGTGCACCGTTCGACGTCGCCATTGCTTAAGCTTGTTTTCGTCGCGGAGCGGCGCACCAAATGGCGGGCATATTTTCTGATAAGTTATTTTTCTGCGAAAAATTCGTTGAACTTTGGAGGCATCATTAATATAAATAATTTTTATGGCCGTTGAATAAGAAATGTTTCTTTCACAAAAAATGTATAAAATTACAGTACTGTATTAGACTTACGGTACCTAATTTATATACTATACAGACGATAGTAAACGACTTACCCGCCTAAACTCTCCCTACCGTGTAAGTAGTTCGGCTGCTCGTCCAATATTGGTCTAGATTCGACCAATCCTGTCGAGACATGAGTCGGCGATGACGTTTTACCGCATTTTACGAGTTTCTTTTAGTGTCTTTATACGAATACTGTCGCAATTTTTTCGCCGCGATATATGAATCCGCATTATATAAACCGTCGTTATAGGGGGTCTACTGTATTTAATATGTAAAATTAGTCAATTAAGTTACAGCATCTCTTCAACTTACAAATGCAAAATATCATTTTTTCTCCAGATTTTTGCATTATTAAGAATAATTTGAGAATATAAATACAGCACAGAACGATGTTCTATTTTTGTTGAAATTTAAAAATACTGCAGTTTCTAGATCCAAGTTGTACTTGACTTTCTCTTATAGTTATTGAGTATATATGTTACGGCTAACGGCAATCTTAGCCAGGTACAAGTTCAAAGTGATGAGTCCGTACCCCAAGGTTCAAATCTATTCTGGGCTATACGTTCGTTCTTCTTGCTTCTCGCACTCGCTGACGTCCTAACAACAAGTGACCAAACCACAAAGTGTCTGACCACGCGGTTCCTCTCGTAACGCGCAGGATTACTCTCGCAACGACTTCCGTTGCCGAGGCTAGGGGTCTTCTGCCTTAGGGGCGTTTAGTCATAATCCCACGAACAATAGCTTCGCACCACTGGCCACTCGGCCAAGCATATGTACAGTTACAAGTGTCCGTTACAGTACTCCCTCCTTTAGGACGGGACGTCTCGTCTCGTAACAATTCTAAGGATATGGTAGTTACGATTTACGAGGGCGAAGATAATATTTCTTCTTAGTTTATGGGAGATCTTCAGTGATGTAATCAGCATCTCGCGGGTCATCAGGTTCTGGCTCTTCGTCGGAATCACTGCTCTCTTGCATCAACGATGATTCCTTTTCCTCTGTTTGATCTAGGGACTACATGATGAACTTCGGTTATAGAACGGTTTCAAACGCTCTACATGGACCACATCAAGCCAAGGTCTACTATGAGGTTTACAATCAATAGCTTCTATTTCATAGTTGTTATCGTTCAGCTTGCTTACAATTCTAAAGGGACCTTTATATTTTATGGGTTTGTCCATCTGTAATTGTTTGGGAATAGCTAGTAATACTAGGTGACCTTTAAAGTATTCACGAAATTGTCGGAGTTCATTGTATTTGTTCATACAAAGGTCTTTTGCATTAGCAGTATAACCTAGCGCAATTTCACGAGCGGCTTCCGCGGGCCTAACCCAGACAGGGATATTTGTATCAGCCAATTCGTCGTTATCTACAAAATTAATTCTATTTAAATGTAGATCAGTGGGTAATAGAGGGTCTCTACCATATACGAAATAGAAAGGAGTGAAGCCTCTAGGCTCATTATATGTGGTATTATATGCGAAAGCTGCGTAATTTAACAATTCTGACCAATTTTTACGGTTTGCTTTGTAAAAATGATTTAAAATATGTTTAATTGTTCTTATTGTTCTTTCTGCAAGACCGTTTCCTTGAGGATGATAAGCAGAAGTATGCTTCGAGCCAATGCATCTAATTTTCAAAAAAGTTTGTGTTACTTTGGAGATAAATTGAGAGCCTCGGTCAGTCCTTACTTCTCGAGGACAACCGTGCCATAAAACGATGAAATTTTCTATGAAGTCAATTACATCCTCGGAGCATTCGCTCCGGAGCGCACCTACTTCCACATAACCCTTGAAATCAC